GACAGCGTCCCAACCTATTTGCATATTACCCTATTATTAGTTTTCCTATATTTCCTTGAGGGCAATGACTTGATATTTTTCTTTCTAGCTTCAGCTCTTATTACAGTGCCTTGTGCCTAGTGAGTAGGCACTCAATAAACGTGTTAAATGAAAAAATGTTCTCAGCTGCCTAAATAGCTTGGACCGTAATTCAAAGACCAGTTTTAGTGTCTGAGAACATGCAAAATTTGATGGGCTCCCATCAAGTTTCTTAAAACCAAGAAATGGAAGAACAAATTAAGTATTACTTTAAGGAAAGATGAAATCCAGCCCAATTACACATTAGAAAGGTATTAAAACTGACAATCATAAGTTTAAAACTAGCAAATGCCACATGAGTAGGAGGAAAACTAAGCTATAATTGTTACTAACAAAAGGCTTTTTAGTTTTCAAAATGACTCTACTGTTTCTTTATCTGGCCTCCTTTTATAGCACTAATGTGTTATGATCTCTGTGTTCACTTTCTTAGATCACTCTATCTTTGGGTATTACCACCTGATGTTAGATTTAAAATTTATAAATTATAATTTATCAATTCTCCCAATGTGTGAAGCATTAAACACAATCAGGCATCAATATTTATTAACACAAGACAAAGAAAACACATTCAATGAGTTAATAGAACACTGTCCAGCCAGATGTTAAATTTAAAAATGTATATCTAGTCTAATTTCAAATAAATAAAAAAACTTTATACATAATTACAAGTACTATAGTTTGAATTTGACACTGGTAAATATTTTGACAGAAAGTAAACAAAACGGCATTTAGGACTAAAAAAAGTATTCTTATATCTTTACACCCTCTTCCTCTGGACAAATAGCATGGCCATCTACATATACCTAAACCAGAAATGTATGAATGATAATGAAAAGGCCTATTGTGTATTTGGAGTACTGCAGCCTCTTGCTCCAAATACTCTTGCTTTTACATCAAAGCAGACAACAAAAACAACACTAAGGCATAGATCATGTTGGAGTTTGAGGGTGAGGTGGTAACTCCTCATTAGCTTTAGTCTAAAAGATTCCTGGATATTTAAGAAAGTAATTTATTTGGCCAAGATATTGAGCACCATGCCTGGGGCAGAGACCTTAATAAAAAACCTAAGGCCTCAGGCCCTTTGTTGATTCAACAAAAGCATTAAGCAAGCATTGCCCAGGGACTAAAGGAAACACACTCACAGGTCCTATAAGTAGGCAATGGTCCCTAAACAGCCTGAGGCAGCACAGCTTCCTAAGGAAAGGACTTGGTACTGGGGTAGGTGGGGCCCTTTATGAGGAGACAGTGCAGACTGGATTCACTGGTGCACATGAGCATGCTGGTCTTCCCCAGGGTCTCACTGATGCAGGAGATGGCACATGTATAGCTCTAAGAAGCCGTAGGGCCTAGGATTTTTCCTGAGGCAGCCCCTTTCCTGCTCTACCTCAGTTACTTCTGCTGAGAGGCAGAAACAGGGTCCAAAAACTTTCACATGAGTAGATTTCTCTTGGATGAAAGGGGGGCTTGCTCTTAATTTAGTTTTCTTTTTCACAGCATAAAAACCTAGAAAATGTATTCCAGAGTTTTGGCAAGGCTCTTTCTATCAATAATGGCCTTTTGGGTCTGTCTTAAGAGTCAGTTTTACCACAAAGGTTCTACTTACTGTGGAAAGAGCAAGAGCACGGTGTCATCAAGAGAAAGTTTTCTTATCCAAGTCTGCAACAGACTAAGCACAAACATCTCTAAGCTAATGACTGGACTCTTCCCCTTCCAGAGATACTTCACCAGAGCTACTGATGCAGCTCCCAAAGACACGTCTCAGCTTCTTTCCTCCTCAGGCATTTTCTGGCTTTTGAGGGACATGCAAAAGATCAGTAAAGCAGCCACAAGGCAGAAAGCAAAAACTAAAGATGAATCAGAAGCCTTAGGAACTATAACACTAGCTAAATGGCCCCTAAGTAACTGGGAATTGGCCACATTTTGAGATTAATAGATTATCTTTTTTGAAGGAATGAGTATAGATCTGCACTGTCCAACATCATAGCCATTCCCCACATGTGGCTACTGAAAACTTGAAATATGGTTAGTCTGAACAGAGATGTGCTTAACAATATTGGATTTCAAAGAGTTAATAGGAGAAAAAAGTAAAACATCTCAGTACTTTTTTATATTGATTTCACATTGCATGGTAATATTTTTTTATATATTGGGTTAAATAAAACATATTAAGACAATTTCACATGTTTCTTTTTTAGTTCTTAAAATGTGGTTACTAGAAAATTTAAAATGACAGATGTGGCTCACATGATACTTCTAGCAGACACCCTATCTTGTGCAGTAAAGAATCATCCAACCCACAGAATAGACTGCCTATATTTTTTTCTTAGAACTTACTATTTACTTCTCAGGGTCCCTTGTTTTTGTTTAATGAATCAGTAAGAACTGTTTTCAGAAAATTACTTTCCAAAAGAGCAGGCTGTTTTCTCTGCCAAACAAACTGTTGTTAGTCGCTGGGATTTCTTGCCCCAATGTAAGTGCTTTTTTCCTGTACATCCTAGAACCTCTCTCATCATGTATAAATTAATTTCATCCAAAATGTTGGAAAAGAGATCTGGAACTGGAAAATGTCTTGAGGTCTGCCCTCGTGGAGAATGGGTTGGGAGAAAAGGAGGATTATGTAAATGGGAGTCATAAAGTGGCTTTGAGTCACAGACTGGAAGGGCAGCCTCTAGGAATGCTGCCACAGCGAAGGGTCTGGCCTTTGCATTACAAACCTTATTTTCAGGGTAATTACAAGTCTTAAAAATTGTTTAAAAACGTATTTAGTTTACATGATGTTACAGTGGGGTAAATAATATGTATTATTAAAATAGTCTAAATAAATATTTACACAATAGACCAGAGTGGGTCAAAGAGAACCATTCTGATTTAACATGTTAACTCTGTTCACTTTGATTTTTTTTTTAATTTTTAAAAATATTTCTGTAAGAAAAAAATAAATTCAACTATATTCAAATACATGAAGTATCAGACCAAAGAAAGAAACTGAGCCGGGGGCCACACTCAGTCCCAAGCTCAGTCTGCTTGGCCTGGGCACCACAGTTATTTCAAAAGAGTTTCTTGCATACATCAAACTGCCCCTATTTCAGCATAAGCCTGGCTATTTTGGCAAGTCAAATTGGTCAGTTTTGAGATGTATAGTTTGTGGCCTTACGGCTTCATGTGACTTTGGTCCCACTGTCTTCCCAGCCTATCATGCTTGTTCTTAAAATCCTGGCCCTCATGAACTGGAAGAACAGAGGACACTCTTCAGCTTTCAGAAAAGAGAAGCTATATGTATAAACTGTAGACACAGTTTACACTGAACCTGGAAAAGAGGAAATTCTAAATTCTTATGTAGTCACTCTTAATTTGAAACACAGTTTCAACACTGGGGGCCAAAGTGAGTTATTGTGGTTCCTTAGAATAGGGTGGGATCGAATGAATCTGAGCTTTTTCATACCATTTTGATTTTTAAACTGAGATTTTTCAGCTTGTAGAAACAGGTTGAATTCTTAAAAGCTTAAAGCTGATTCTGGGAATGCAAACTTTAAAAACAAACATAGGCAGCTTTAGTTTATAAAATACACCAGCCAATAGAGACATAGTACAATGTGCAGCGAAATCTGCAAACAATTTGCATTTTTTAGTTACCTATTCAACTACACCGCATTAAGAGCGTATCTGAAATTCTCTCAAAGTAGAAATGTTTCTACTTTGGTGGTTGTAACTATACAAGCCAATCTTCATTTTTTAAAGCTAAATTATGTGTATTCTTATTTACATGTTCAAAACAATGGTCAAAATGTTTTACAGTCAAGAATTATATATATAATTTTCATATTCAGTGAGTTATCCAATTTGCTTATGAGTCAACTGAAGTAAGATGAGTAGTTCCATGTTAACAAAACCCGCAGAATGTCTGGCTATGGTAAAAGGCAAAATACAGTACAGAGCGGGGAACTGGGTACCTCAGACTACCCCCTTATGTGAATTCATTAAACTCCCTTACAAAATTCTAAAATGGCATTAGATAAAAATACAAGTATATACAACAGATGAAAAATATGCAACATGCATGTAATTGCTTTAGTAACGTGCTGCTCACGCTATGTCAAAGCTCATGACTGTTAACATTTTTTTCATTTGCCATCACAGAATTCCCCTTTTCTGTGTGTTGTGTGATTGCAGAATCCCACAGGATGAGATGAAGGATACAATGTAGCCATCTCAGCTTATTTTACATCATTTGAAAGCTTGCTCCTGTCACGGGCTTTGGTCCTGTGGTTTCCCAGGAGGCCCCGGTAATCTCCACAAGGCCGGTTACATGTTATAAGCCACGTAGATGGGGTCTAACTGGTCAGCGAGGAAGCTGTCGCGGAGGTGCATCCTTTGCTTCTCTCCTCTGGAGTTGATGGGGATGACACCTGGGTCCACCACAACCACGACGCCAACGATGAGGTAATGCTCCTCCAGAACCACATTTGTCACTAAAGGAACCAGATCCAGAGCTTCCTGTTCAGAGCCACACAGTTCCACAACCACCACAAGCAGGTTGGTCCACGTGAAGACGGCACTGAAATTTCAATGACATTCATTTTAGATGTCAGTACATTTATCAGTCATCTTGTACAGTCAGCTACCCAAGACTTAGCCCCATTTCCCTAAGAACTGCCTTCTCTCTTAGCAGCCACGTCTGTAATATATAACCGTCCCCTATGATTACAGCTGATTAGCTGAGCCATCCAAAATCTCTTGGGAGTTTGGAACTGGGATTGGAAGTTGTTAGCTTGTCACCTGAACTGGGGACACGTGGACTTGAAAGTTCTGGGGTAGCCACATGTGCAGAGAATCACAGAGAATGGCTCTTCAGGGAGAAGAGAAAGAATGAAGTGGATGTCCACATGGCTCTAGCAAGTAAGAGGACAGTGGTTCCCGATGGCCTTGTCTCTACCTTTCCTGAGAACCAGAGTTAGAAATGTTTAGGAACCTCTGAGATAGGCAGGTATTCTTTCCATTAACTTTCTCTTTTGCTTAATTTTTTTTTGAAAAGTTTCTGTTATTTGCAATGTAAGAACTTTGACTAAGATAATACTCTTATCCCCAACAGGAAGGGAGTCGACTTGGCTTCCTCTGAACTTAGTGCCCCACGCAAGTGTGTCTCCTCTTATGCCATAAAAGTGCCATGAGGTAGTTAGTAAGTTGCTTTTCATTGAGTGGGATTGCTGGGTTAGAGGATATGACCTGACTTGTGATATGCAATGTTAAACTGCTTTAATACAGAGTCCAATCATTAAAGAAAAATGTTCACAATATCTGACTGCATTAAAAGTAGAATGTCAACCAGGCTGGGTAGCTCAAGTGGTTAGAGCATATGCCAAGGTTTTGGGTTTGATCCCCCATCATAGCACATACAAGAAGCAACCAATGGCCCAGCCGGTGTGGCTCAGTGGTTGAGCACTGACCTATGAACCCGGAGGTCACGGTTCGATTTCCGGTTGGGAAATATGACCAGGTTGTGGGCTTGATCCCCAGCAGGGAACATACAGGAGGCAGCTGATCAGTGATTCTCTTTCATCATTGATGTTTCTATCTCTTTCCCCCTCTCCCCTCCTCTCTGAAGTCAATAAAAATATATTTTAAGCCGAAACCGGTTTGGCTCAGTGGATAGAGTGTCGGCCTGCGGACTGAAGGGTCCCAGGTTCGGTTCCGGTCAGGGGCATGTGCCTGGGTTGCGGGCACATCCCCAGTGGGAGATGTGCAGGAGGCGGCTGGTCGATGTTTCTCTCTCATCGATGTTTCTAACTCTCTCTCTCCCTTCCTCTCTGTAAAAAATCAATAAAATATATTTAAAAATATATATATTTTAAAAAAAGAAGCAACCAATGAATGCATAAATAAGTGGAACAACAAATCGATGTTTCTCTTTCACTCTCCCCACTCTTTCCTCTCTCTCTCAAATCAATTAAATTTTTTTTATAGTCAATTGTCTAAAATTAGAGGGTTAACCATGGCACCCAGCTTCTCTGCATTTTCTTACACCTCATGGACATTATTCAGGTCTGGGGAGAGAACATTTTGAGACACAGAAGCGTCTGAAAAGCATGAGCAGCCTTTAAAAGCATTGTGGCCTTTTAGCAAGGGGAAAAAGAAAGAAACAAAAAACGAGTGAGGACACATTGATAAATATGTAGAGAAAAGAAATTGGGTGGATTCTGTATTGTTAATCCAGAATAAAAGCCAATATGAAAAAACGACAAGGTTTTAATTTTAAAAAATTTTAAGTCAATGTGAGGTTAAATGATCCCTTATCAGGGATAATGTAGGGGGATTTCCTACACTGAGAGGAAAATTAGACCATATAAAAGTAATGATCCTTTCATCTGCTTACCATTTAACAATTTAAAAGCACATTCTCATTGGATCCTCCCAATAATCAGGAAGTGACAGAGAAAGTATCTTACAGATGAGGGAAGCAGCCTAAGTGGGAGAGCAAGGCCTTTAAGCTCTTGGTCCTGTCCACCATTCTACTCTGACTCTAGAGCAGCGGTTCTCAACCTGTGGGTCGCGACCCCCTTTGGGAGTCGAACGACCCTTTCACAGGGGTCGCCTAAAGACCATCGGAAAACACGTATATAATTACATATTGTTTTTGTGATTAATCACTATGCTTTAATTATGTTCAATTGTAACAGTGAAATTGGGGGTCACCACAACATGAGGAACTGTATTAAAGGGTCGTGGCATTAGGAAGGTTGAGAACCACTGCTCTAGAGGCAGGAAGTCTATCATTAAAGAGGACTCGACTTTAATGGTCCTTAGAGCCGGTCTCAGGTCTCCATGGCCTCATCTGCCACAGCAGATGGCACACAAGACAGAATCAGTCTGCTTATTCTCTTAGGCCCCCTGAGTGCTATGTCTGTAGGTGGTAGGTGGTGCATTCAGCGGACTACTTAGTTTTCCTCGATACGACATTGGAGGTGGGAAGTCTAATCGGGGGTGAGGCTTACCATTCGGCAATGCTCCTGTGGATCCGAGACACTGAGGTCTCAATATCGATTGGGTGGTATCGTAATCCTCTCAGCTCCAGCGTTTCATCCAGAGCTCCCACCACATATAACGCATCATGACGCTCTGACAAAGAAAAAGAGAAATTTGGTTTATCAGACACATTTTGAGTACAACATAATATTAGAGTTAAGAGCAGAGTTCAGACTGCCTGCCGTGTCAGGTGGCTACATCACTCGCTGTGTAACTTTGGGCAAATTAGTCAAGCCTCTAGGTCCTGCTTCACCCTCTGTGAGACAAGATAAAAACATGGCTGTGGAGACCAACCAAAGGACTTGTATGCATGCATATAAGCCTAATCAATGGACACAGACACCAGGGGGCTGAGGGCATGAGTGTGGGGGGGGGCAATGGGGGGGTAAGGACACATATGTAATACCTTAATCAATAAAGAAAAAAAGTTAAAAAAACAAAACATGTCTTTGCCCTGGAGGGTGTAGCACTTTTGGTTTGAGTGTCAACCCGTGCACCCAAGGGTCGTGGATTCGATCTCTGGTCAGGGCACATACGGGAGGCAACTGATTAATGTTTCTCTCACATTGATGTTTCTCTCTCTCTACTGCCCTTCCTCTCTCTCTAAAAAAATCATTAAAAACATATAAAAAATAAAATCAATGAAAACAAATCCTTGGGCGAGGATTATCAAAACAAAACAAAACAAAACAAAACAAAACATGGCTGTTATTAGGATTAAATGAGATAATCCATGCAAGGTAGTTTATATGATGCCTGGTACATTGTAAGTGCTAAAAAATTAGCTATTACTACTACTACTGCTACCACCTGTACCAGGAATTGTACCAAATGCTGGGGAGACAAAGATGACAAAACAATTCCTGCTTTGGATACTATCTACTGGAGAAATAGACCCACAAACGGGCGTTCCATTGTAACGCAGTGAGCCCAGTGACAGGAGTGTGCACAAGGCATAGGGACCAGAGGATACGCCCAAGCTCTGCTCATAGGTTCAAGGAAAACCTAGAAGAGCCGAAGCCGGGCTGAGCTGTTAAGGATAAGTAGGAATTGGCCGATGATGGCTGGGGGAGGGGAGAATGGAGGGAAGTGAGGATTTGAGATGAAGAAGAAATGAACATGTGTCATTGTGTCTAGACATCTTCAAGGAGTCCAAGTATAAGGAGTAGGATTAGAGAATGTGGAGAGACTAGTTCTGGTTATTAATAGGGTTGTAATCTATCTATATTACTAATGAGTGCATTCTGTGTGCCAGGCACTGCTCTGGGCACCTAAATGCATCAATCCCCTGACTGGGAATTGAACCACGACCTCCTGGTTCATAGGTTGACTCTCAACCACTGAGCCATGCCAGCCGGGCTAGAGTTGGGTATTTTAAAATGCCTATTCATGCCACCAGGAACACAGGTTGAAGGCAGCAGTGAAGCCATGACAATGGACTGGGCAGAGGATGGCTGGGGGACTGCTTATACCAGAGCCTTGCCAAGCACTCTTCAGTCCAACATGCGACACTAAAGGGACAGAGGAGCACTTCTGCAGATGGCTCCTCTGCACTGATTCCCTGCCAGGGATTAGGGCTGGTACACGAGCATAGAAGAGCTAAAAGGTGAAATACCTGCCCCAAGGGCTTAGGGTCTGTGTTCTGCCTTTCACTGCTCATCAGGCACACCTCCAGGACTGAGGCTGTGCTGACCCACAGTTCAGGGGTGCTGACGTGGTACCCTGGGTGCTTACCTCCTAGGTGCTTTTCAGGGGCAAAGTCTTACTTTATATGCAGATGGATTCACACATGGATTAAAGAGTTGTAGGAGGGAATAGTTAAATACACATACACAATGCAGAGGCTGGCTGAGGAAGGCCAGCCAGTGCTCCTGGGTGAAATGCAAAGCAGGATGAAGGGGAAGAGTTGGCATGGGAGATGCATACCTCCAGTGGCCGCTGTGAGCTCAGTTCGGCGGACAAAACCAAGGTATCCTGTCCGAGCCCACAGTGTCTGAGCAGCATCCCCAAAGCTGAGGCGAGTGTTGAAATGATCAGCTTGAAGAGTCTCACTATCGTAGATGGTGTAGTAGCCACTGGCCGTATGGGGACTGTTTACCCAAATCTACAAGAAAAGGGCACTGGTCACATTTCCCAAGAACACATATTGTGACTAGTTTTTTCATCTCATTTTATATTAATAGCAACAACACAACTGCAATAAAGGCAACTGACATTTCAAGTATTCAGTGAGGTAAGTACTTTATATGCTTTATCTCATTCATTCCCGCCACATGACATGACAATATAGTTCACACTATTGTTATTCCCATTTTACAAATGAAAAAACAAGGAGTTAAGTAACTTGCCTAAAATGCGGAAACTAGGAGACTCACACCCAAGTCTGAGTGGCAGACACTACACTGCCTCCCTGGCTCATTTCTCAGCCTCTTTCAGAGTCTCACAAAGGTGTCATTCCTGTGCTTCTGAAATAAGGTATAGAGCCCTCAAGGAAACAATCCAGGGTATCTGAATTTACCACATAAACAACCAATAACTAAAAATGGTTGGTAACACTAAATAGGCGCCATTCTATGTGCATTACAGATACAGGTATTAATGCACGTAACTGTCACACAATTCTACTACGTAGGTGCAAATATTATCGATGGATGAGGAGACTGAGGCCCAGAGAGATTAAGTAACTTGCCCAACACTGAGAAGCTGCTAAGTGGTAGAGCCCAGGTCATCTGGCTCCTGTACCTACAACACTCCTCCCAGTACGCTGTGGGATGAAACAGTGTCCCTTAAAGATTTGGGGGAAGAAAAATTAAGACTTTAAAAACATTTTAATACTAATACAAAAATTAACACATTTGGGGATAGAATATAAAATTTGCATGAATTTTTGAAATTTAATCTTTGTGGCTCCTTCAATAAGTGGGAGGAGGTAGGATTTGCCCATTTTCCTTTTCAACTGAGGGATTATCAGTGGACAAATCTGGGACGAGTTCTAGTTTGGGTGCCTAAATCTTCTCTCCATCCTGGTCTCAATCTTCCTCTTCTGTCCATTTCAGTCTTGTGCTTTACAGAGGAAGATTAAGACTCTTTTAAAAGATGAAAATTCCTAATGGGGGAAAAGCACATCCACACTTTCTCTGACTTTGAAATATGAACCCTAAAGTTGTTCTCTGCTGACGTTCAGAGTAAAGGTGAAAGGTACACCTACCTCTCCAAGGTGAGAGTCTCCAACAGGCCCTTTGGTCTCGGGATTAACAATAACCACTTTCACTCCAGGTAAAATCTAAGAATCAAAGGGAAAACACAAAGACTCAATTAAAGTCTAATGACCTGCTCTCCCTTCCTCTACTGAGGCGAGGAGTGCACAAAGGCAGGAGCTAACTAAGATGGTGCTCACAGAATCGTCCTCAGTGGAGACCAGAGGTACAATAAGGTTCATCCTCAAAAGGAAACCAAAGAACCAACCAGTCTACTTCCTTCAAAGGGATGAGGAACTGCAGATCAGAATGATGTTAGGAATTTATAGACGGCCCTGGCCTGTGTTGCTCAGTGGTTAGAGTGTCCTCCTGAGAGCACGAAGGGTTGAGAGGTCATTCCCCATCAAGGCACAAACCTGGGCTGCAGGTTCAATCCCCACCCTGGTCAGGGGGCATGCGGGAGGGAGCCAATCAATGTGTCTCTCTCACATCAATGTTTCTCTCTCTCTCTCTCCCTTGCTCCTACCCTCCTCTAGAAGTCAATGGGAAAAATATCCTCAAGTGAGGATTAGCAACAACAATAAAACGAAACAAAACAAAAAGAATTTGTAAACTAACTTAACCTGTAACTGTCCTTTCCCACAATCTGTCTTGTTCACTGGATGGTGGCACTAAACCCCTTAAAGCAGGAAGGGCAGCAGTGAGGGGCTGCCTGCGAGACCGCACTCCGGTCCACAGTGAGTGCTAGAGCTGAGGGGCCTGGAGAGAGACAGAGGAAGGGAGCAGTTTTGCAGGAGACTAGAAAGACACTCGAGTGCGAGGACCTCCCTCAACAGGGAGGAGGAAGCAGCAGGTGCTGGCCGAGAGGATGGCTCAGGGCCTCTCTGGTCACCTGCATTCTGTCTCTTAAGCCTCCGTTTTCATCTTGGGTTTCTGGATGATGCAGTTACCTGAGAAGCCCTACAATGATTATCTGGGCTCGTACATCTAAAACCTCCAGGAAGGAAGAGACAGGGTCAGGCACCGTGATACAGCTCCTGAGGCACCCACTGCTAGCTGAGGCAGACGAAGATTGACAAGATGATAGGACCAACCTAAGCCCACTTCGAAAAGTTTAAACAGAAGAGGGAAATTGGAGGTAGTTCTCCGTGGGGTTGATCTACCACTGGAGGCTGGGCAGGTTCCCTCTTTCCCCCAATTTTCTCCTCTGCCTTCCAGAATTCCTAGAAGGGATTCTGGGGCATCATCACTTCTCGTCAAAGGGAGAAGAAACTTGAAAGCTTATACTGATGTTTTATTACCCTCAGTAAATGGTTTAAAACCGATATAGACTGCTTGGGTGGTAAACACACAATACAATATACAGATGATGTATTGTAAAATTGTATATCTGAAACCTATATAATTTTATTAACCAATGTCACCCTAATAAATTCAATTAAAAAAATAAAACTATAGCCCTTGTCAGTTTGGTTCAGTGGATAGAGCGTCAGCCTGCGCACCGAACGATCCCGGGTTTGATTCTGGTCAAGGGCACGGACCTCGGTTGCAGGCTCCTCCTGGGCTCGGGTCCTGGTCAGGGCTCATGCAGGAGGCAACAAATCGATGTGTTTCTCTCACATCGATATTCTCTCTGTCTTTCCCTCTCTCGTCAACCTCACTAAAATCAATGGAAAAATATCCTTGGGTGAGGATTAAAAAAAAACACCCACTATAAAAAAACCTGCTATAGATTGAATGTTCCCAATGAGGATTGGAAATCCTAATCCCCACTGTGATGGTATTAGGAGGTGACTTTGAGCGATGACTAAGTCAGGAGGGCAGAACCCTCATGGAGGGGATTAGTGAACGTATAAAAGAGACCCAGAGATTTCCCTCGCCTCTGCTGCCAGGTGAGGACGCAGTGACAAGAGGGCCATCTATGAGCCAGAAATCCTTTGCCAGAATCTGCTGGTGCCTTGATCTTCGATTTCACAGACTCTACAACCTTGAGAAGTAAGTTTCTGTTGTTGATAAGCCACCCAGTCTCTGGTATTGTTACAGCAGCCTAAATGAACTAAGATAATAATGAAATCTCTCCTTGAACATTTTAAAGCCTCATTCTAATCTAAATCTTACCCCATAGATAATCACTCCAATATTTTTAATCTCTTCCCCATTTTGGTTTCTCTTTGAACTACAAATATATATATATATATATAATCTCCCCTAATCTTAAACCACACCCCTCCCCTATCTGCCACCTATTTTTCTCCTTGTAACAGTTATAAAGATAGAACTGGCTCTTGTTCATCTCTCTACCTTGAATAAATGAACATTAAATTTTGCTGGTTTGTCAAATAAGAATTAACATGTCAGATTTTTAAAAATCTATGGAAATTAAGAAAATTGAAACGGAGTATTCTTCTTATGTATCCATATGAATTTGAAAGTATTGGCTCAGTTGAAATTGTTGAGTTATCTCCAGATTTCAGTTAAGTTTTGCCCTGGGTATTAATATGTTAAATGGCTTCAGGTTTCTTTAAAATGAACCACTTCTCCACAGAGACCACCTTCCCAATGGTTAACAAAACAAATTACCTTTCCAGACTCTGAGAGGAGCAAACTCTGGGGGGCACCCCGTTCCACAAGACGAACCCTGTAGAAGAACGATATTTACTATACATAAGCCTTTCACAAGTGATTGCACCATGTCAACTATAGCTATATAGTGCCTTCCCAAGACTCTAATTTGTCTCTCCTTCTTATGCTAGAGCAGGTTCTCAAACTTAGCATTACTGACATTTTGGGTCCAATAATGTTTTGTTACAATTTTTTGTGAGGGGCTATCCTGTGCAGTGTAGAATCGTTAGCAACATCCCAGTCCTCTACCCACTAGATGTCAGCAGCAGCCCACTTGTTGTGACAACCAAAAATATCTCGACACTGTCAAAAGTCCTCTGGAGGGCGAATCCCCCAGGCTGAGAAACACGGAACTCGTGAAATGTGCTACCTGTGCAGGCGGGGCCAGTGCCACGGGCGCCACGGGCACGCCGGTGAACACAGCTGACGTCAGTGGGACTTGGGAAAGGGTCACAGAGCCCGGGGCCAGGCTCACCTTGGGATACAGTTAAAATTCCTTTCTAAGTTGATGAGGGGAAAGGCTTTTACTCCTGGGGCTCAGATAAAGTACTGTTTCAAAAACCCTACTCCACCTCATTTATCTTGTCTGTCCCATCTTTTATTTTTAAACTTTCAGAGGGAAGAGTCTACCCATTTTGGTTTAATTTATATCAAAATACTTTTACACAGGCAGGAACTAAGTATTACATCTTAATATTAAAGAATAGTGCAGAAACTGTGAGAATGAAAGCTTTCTTCTTATAAATGTAAAAATTTTTCAGGTATTAATAATGAAAAATTATTTCCCTCTTTCCATGCCCCCTGGAAGATACAAACAAAGGATGAGGAAGGGGGCTGGCTTTCTTGAGGCTCAGAACTTTTTATGTTTAGGAACTCTAATAAGAAATGATCAAAATAAATCTACTGTACCTGTCATGTCTTAATGATTTCAGATCTACATACACAGTAGTTGGATCGGGCCCTGAGGTTCCCTAAAGAAAAATAAATCAATGCATGGTTTATTTAAAATTTAAATTACTATGTTTCCACATTTCATATATTTAAATAAAGAAAGAAGTAAGTTAGACATAGACATAAAAATGCAAACTCTATTTTGAAAGCTCACCCTCTTCAGCCAGATGCGGCAGGTGCAGTCAATGCCTAGAAGAGGCGCCTGGCCTGGCTTTGCCCTCATGTTTCTCTCTTCTCCTCCCTCGGGAGAGTGGGCCAGGGGCCTTCTCACAGAGGCAAGAGAAGCACTAAAGTTACCAGGCGAAGGCCGGTCCTCATCCCTGGACTTTAAAGCAGGGACGACTGCCTGGCCTGTGTGGCTCAGCGGTTGAGCATCGACCTATGAACCAGGAGGTCACAGTTTGATTCCTGATCAGGGCACATGCCTGGGTTGCAGTCTTGATCCCCAGTAGAGGGCCTGCAGGAGGCAGCCAATCAATGATTCTCTCTCATCACTGATGTTTCCATCTCTCTCTCCCTCTCCCTTCCTCTCTGAAATCAATAAAAATATATTTAAATAAATAAACAAATAAACAAATAAATAAATAAATAAATAAAGCAGGGACGACACAGGTCAGCATCCATGGGGATTTTCAAAATTAACACTGGCCCAACCTGAAAACAAAGGGCCCACAATTGGGCTCCACAGTTAAAGCTACGATGCTATTTAAAAGTCACCTGACCATGGTCATAGAAGACCTGAAAGTATCTACCCACGTATGCCACCTTCATTTACTCTCACTCTTGTCCACGCCTATGTTTTCCTTATTAGTCTCCAAGCTACATACAATCAGACTCAGTTCTTTTCTGTTATGTACCCAGGAATAACATGGCAATGTTGCCATCTGGTTGAAGAAAAGAATACAGACTTATTTGTACTTCCTTTGCAAAAAAGTTATAAAATATGGAGGAGACAGGAAAACAGAAGGGAAGATATAAACAAAATTCAAATAGGACTCAGAGTCTTCTTCAGTCATTGCTGTGGACCATAAAACTACTACGAAGAGTAAACATTTAGCACATGGGTGCTCAAAGGCCAGAAAAAGCTCCACGTGTGTAGCATCTAGCAACTTAGTGATTCCACAGAACGACTCTGTGAAGACAATACTCTTCTCTCCATCTTACGGATGAGCAAAATGAGGCACAGTGAAGTCACCATGGAAAGGCCACGGTCCCAGAGCAGGTGAGAGGAACGGGGCTCACACCAGGCAGACTGTTCGAGGCCTCTGCTCCAGAGCACCACACACCCCCCTTGCATTTTTTCCAAGCAAGATTTCATGAAAGTCACCTGTAAACATATTGCTACATTGACTCTTGATCCGAAAGTGGTGCTGACAGCTCGAGGGGACAGACCGATGTCTTTAAAGAGCTTGGAGAAGGACTGCTGGAGGGCAATTCGGGGCCGCTCCTCGGCCACTACCACACACGTCCGGATGCAGGAGAGGTTGATCCCTCTGGTCTGTAAGACACCATGCACGTGAGCTGAGGTTAGCAAGACCATCAGAGAACTGAATAGCTAGGGCCAGTGCTGTCTCTTTGGTCAGGAAAAGCCAAGGAACTGTGTATTCTCACCTCAGATAACCAGAGAAAAGACAGAAGTTCCCAGAAATGCCAAGGCTTCCACTGAAGTCATTACCTCCTGGTAAATGTGCTCATTCTCTATTTCTTTTCTCTTTCCTCTAAAAGTCTTGGGTTCCTCAGCAATCCATTTTCATCCCACCCCGTTTCTGTGCCTTGCATTTCTCCCTACTGCAAATTGGAGGCATGGGACTATGAGGAAGGGAACCTAGCACCCTGGAGATCAAATCTCTTGTCTTTTTTTCCTCCTTAAGGTCACATTTCTCTATTTAAGAAAATCTGGTGTCTTCTGACTCTCCCACATGCAGTCAGACATATGATCACTGGCTACACACATGAATGAGCTACCCCTTTGTCTCTGGGGCCCTCCCCAGTCTCTGATGTTCTGAGGTTGCAAATTCTATTGGGAAAAATCCTACTGGAGGTTAACAGTTCCTTTCATCTTTCTATCAAGTCATTTCCATTCAGCCTCCCAACCAGTTTCACCTTCTTTGCCACAAATTAAGACTCACATTAAACTCTGAAAGAGTGCATTAAAGTAGAAAGTGGAAGAGATAAACTTCCGGAGGTTTACAAAAACACCTGTTTGACTGCCTAGAGAAAACCAAGCAGGTATGTCTGTCAACCCCTCCTCAGCGTCCTACCTGTCCCATTTCTTTAAAACCCCCAGGACTGCTGTTTGTTGCAGCTGCTTCTTACCTTCAGCACCTCCACTTGGTTTCCAAGCCCCTTGGTGCAGAGCTCCATTACTGAATAGGAGCAGAATGTATCCCTTATTTTGTACTGGTTGACAGTGGCAAGCCAGAGGAAAAGGTTGTTTTCTAACTCCATAGGAGGAATTAAGATGGACTGGTGACCTGAATAGACACTGCAATACAAGAAGGCAAGAGCTGACATTAGCAAATCATCCTAGATATCTTGATGTTTTAAAACATCATCAATTCAACTGAGCAGGAAGGACAGTGTAGGGCCATATTAGATATAAAGGTTTAAGAATCAGCCTTGTTCATATGCAACTCACAACACAGTGTAACTATAAAATAGAGCAGACTGTGATACATGTAGTAACTGAGATGTGAATAAAGGACATCAACAAGATCACAGAATAAAGGGCAAGTCATCCAAACTGGGAAAGCTGGGGCTGGCGGGGGGCGGGGGGAGAGTTCAATGTGCAGGTGACAGTTGTGCTGGGGCTTGAAAAACGAGCAGGAATTTGACAGTGGCTGGAGGAAGTGAGGATGGTGATGAGAGTATTCCAGGCAGAGGAACAGCATATGCAAATGCAGAGGTATAAAATTACATGGTGTTTAAGGTTGACAGAAATAGTACCCCAGTGTGAAATACTAGAGCACAGGATGCATGGGGGAGTGATGAGACATAAGGCCAGCAGGGCTGGGATCAAACTGTGAAAGGGCTTAATTATCATATGAGGGATTTAGACTTTACCCAGTAGGCAGTCACTGCAGCTTTAAGTTGGGGCAAAACTAGCAACATGGAGGAGGGATTGGAGATACGAGACACTGAAGGCTGAGAGACAGTTAGCAGAGACTGCAATAGTCCAGCTGAGAGATGATGAGGGCTTGAACCCCGACAATGCAGCGGGATAAAAAGGAAGGAATAGTAGAGTCACATATCATATGTATAATCTGCAGCCATGAATCCTCAACTTCCTAAACCTGGGTATAGATCAGAATTACCAGGAGCCCAAGAGTCCTGCATTTGAAAAATACTGGAATTGGGGTCTCCACCTTCAGAGATCTAAGTAAGTATGGGGAAGGCCTATTAATTTTTTTTAGACCCCTAGGTGAATCCTATGTACAGACAGGTTTAGGAACAACTGAGCCAAAGGACATGACATTTAAATGGATGTGAGACATAAAGACAGAGAAGTTGGAGATAATGCCCAAGTTCCTAGTTTGGGCCCCAAGGTGAAGGACCCATCCTAACAAAGATGGAGACACAGAAGGGGCTGTTGAGTTGCACGCAGCTGGGAAGGACCCATGGAGATGTCCACTAGGAGGTGAAAATGCAGGTATGAGGCGAGGTTCCCTGGGCGGCTAGTGGGAGGAGTGGCAATGCTGTTCCATAAGAAACAATCTGGCCAGGACGGACGCGCTACTTTCCAGCCACATGCTATTATCCCACCTCATTATATTCCTTCCTGCCAAGCCAGGGGGTGCATTCTGGCTGTCACAGCTGACACATTTCACCCAAGTATCATCCTTCTACTTGGCTCTACTTCTAAAGAGAGGATTACAGGACAGAGCAGAGAGCAGGTAATAAGATCACTAACCTTTTGCATGAGGCATAAAACTATAGAAAAGAAAAAGGGAATATAAACAAAACTAAATCAACATCAGAGATATATTAGAAGTAGAAATTCTGGAAAAATCGGTATCTTATTGAAACTTTCCCAGATTAAGGGAGCAAAGGGAAGGCTGAGATGGTTATGGCCTTCACAGACACGCCTACACATTCTGTTTCTTTGCTTTTCCATTCCTACCTGCAGAGACACCAGAGTGCAAAGCCAAGTCCACAGTAAGGGTCAAGGCAGATGGCGATCTGCCGAGAAGAATACAATTCACACTGGAGCTTGATGGCTCTGCAGAGAGCATTGACTGCCGAGTGGGACATCTGGAAAGCAAGGAACATGGCACAGGATGGAACAGGCGTCCCACAGGCAGCTTCGAGTCCCCCAAACTCCTCAAAATGATGTATATTTTTCATTGGTTCTAAAAGCTTACTCTCACTTCAGGTAACAAATTTCTGTTCATTAGTCAACTCTGAGTTTTATGAAATATGAATCTGTAATTTCATACTGTCTTTAACTGTAACTCTTATTATCTGTTAGCTTCTATGCTAGGTTCAGAACATGGCATAACACAAATTCCTTGGGATAACTTATTCCGGAAGAGCCGATGCTCTTATTTAAATATAGCAGGGACCCTTGATCCTCCGCCTACCCTCTCTGGTACAACCAGCTGGCCTCTACAGCTGAAGTCCCTGGGGCAGTGGTCATCTCTATTTTCTGCAGGCCTGGCATTTGACCAGCATCCAGTGAGTGAGTGAATATACACAGACTAGTCTACCTTCACTCCTGTAAGCATGCCCGTTGTAGAGACACTAAAGTCAAGATACGCCAACATCTCAGGAGTGGGTGGTTTATACAACTGAGGCAACTTCTTCCTGGGTAAATCATCTGCAAGGAAAAGAAAAAATCTGATGTCAATCACAGATGTTGGAACATGAAAACCGTTGCTCTTTTACTGGTTTTCTGTGGCCTTGTGATGGCCAAATTTAGCTTCTGGGATTTGGGAAAGCTTAGGCTTCTCGTATTTAACCAAGCAGCTTATGTGTGTCACTCCTACACGTGGGCTGGAGTTAAGGGCACCGATAGGCAGTATAAACAAGCAAATCTGTATCAGGCAAATGTATTTACTAGAAGGGAAGTGAGGGGCATAATAACATAGTTCTGTAGTTGAAAACTAAGAAAGCACACTGCTGGCATTCAAATCCCAGCTCTGCCATTTTTCAGTGATTTGACCTTGAAGTTATTTAACATCTTTGTGTCTGTTACCTCATCTCTAAAAGGTATTAATACCTACTCTCATAGAATTGTTGGGAAGTTAATTCACACAAAGCAATTTGAAAATAACTGACTAAAATGCTCAAATAGCTTATTATTATCATGCTGGTTTCAAGTTAAAGTTCATTACTTACAGTTTAAGTACATGTTATATTAGTCATGGACTGCTTTAAAAGTTATTCTTCTACAAATTAACTTGGTAGGTGTTTTTTTTTAATATATTTTTTTTAATTGATTTTTTACAGAGAGGAAGGGAGAGAGATAGAGAGTTAGAAACATCGATGAGAGAGAAACATCGATCAGTTGCCTCCTGCACATCTCCTACTGGGGATGTGCCCGCAACCCAGGTACATGCCCTTGACCGGAATCGAACCTGGGACCTTTCAGTCCGCAGGCCGACGCTCTATCCACTGAGCCAAACCGGTTTCGGCAACTTGGTAGGTTTTTAAAAATTATAATCTAGAATTAGGAATTGAGTTCCTTTCTCATTTATTTATATACTCATTCCTTTCCCCCCAAATTTGCTTTATAAATATGTCAAAACCAAGGCTATCAAGTATATCTCTGGCCCAACAATGTCTCTTCAATGGCTCCTTTGGCTTTCTGGATCAAGAAACAATTCTGACTCTGACTTAAAAAAATATATATATATATATTGATTTTCAGAAAGAAGAAGGAAGAGGGAGAGAAACATCAATGAGGGAGAATCATCAATCGGCTGCCTCCTGCACGCCCCCTACTGGGGATCGAGCCTGCCACTCAGACATGTGCCCTAACCAGGAATCAAACAGTGGCCTCCTAGTTCATGGATTGACACTCAACCACTGAGCCACACCAGCTGGGCCTGACTCTGACTTTTAAATCTCTTTATTACTGGGTGCCCATCTCTGGTCAAACCAAAGACCTTCTCTATCACCTTCAACCCACCTTTGTGTATGAGAGGGGCATTTATGTGCCTAAAGAAACCTTCCTAGAAAAAAAAAGAAAGAACCCTTCGTGACCCAGCCAGTGTTGCTCAGTGGTTGAGTGTTGACTCATGAACCAATAGGTCACAGGTTTATTCCTGGTCAGGGCACATGTCAAGGCTGCGGGCTCAATCCCTAGTAGGGGGCGTACAGGAGGCAGCCAATGAATGATTCTCTCTCATCATTGATATTTCTATCTCCTTCTCCCTTCCTCTCGGAAATCAATAAAAAATATATATATTCTCATAGCTGAATCACAGTCCATATTTCAGGTCTTCCTGAAATGTGAATGAGTCCAATAACCATAGTACATCTATCTGCATCATTAACACCAACACATTTATTATATACTTGAGGTCCAGTGCACGGATTCATGCACCAGTGGGGTCCTTTGGCCTGGCCTGCGGGGATCGGCCGAAACTGACTCTCTGACATGGCCTGAGGGGTCCCGGATTGTGAGAGGGCACAGGCCAGGCCGAGGGACCCCATCGGTGCACGATCAGGGCCAGGGAGGGACTGTGAGAGGGCTCCAGGGCATGTCTGGCCCATCTCGCCCAGTCCCAATCGGCCGGACCCCAGCAGCAAGCTAACCTACCAATCGGACACTTAGCATATTAGGCCACTATACTGGATGACTGTGCTTATGTCCTTAAGTTACAAAAAAAATCTAGTTTAGCATCTGGCACACAATAACCACAAACACATGTCATCCCTGCATTTAAACCCATATAAATGTTCCTGAGGTGGATACCATGTGGTACTTACTGAAAGCAGGGTAGGGAGGAAATTCATGGTTAAGAGGCTGGAAATGGAGCCAAACTGACTGGGTATGTCAGTGCTACCACTTAACCTCCCTGTGCCTCAGTTTTCATATTTGTAAGATGAGGATACAAATTGCATCATTTTATTAGGGTTGGTGCAAGGATAAAATTAGGTTATACATGTTAGATGTCTGACACATAGTTAGGGCTCAACTAAAGATGTTATGATTATGTGTGAAGTGCTTTACATTATGTCAGTTTAATCTTTAAAACACCACAAAGTAGTTATTACAACCCCCATCGTATAGAAAGTTTTGCCCAAGTTACTGGTGATACTCAGAGAGGAACAGAGTCTTAGGACTTAAACCCTGTCTGCCAAACTCCATAACTCACACTCCCCCCTATCCCACCATTCTCCAGGTGGCCATGCGTCTTATTCCCTTCTTTAGTAGAAATGCCGTTTAACATTCATGCAAACTTTATGGTTTTCAAAGAACTTTCATATCATATTGCATTCGATATTCTAAGTATGTGAATCAGGCAAGGGCAGGTAGTATTTTAGAAAAGGGTAATCTCAGACAAGATTATATAGAGAACTAGAAGCCCAGTACAAGAAATTTGTGCACTCGGTGGGGGGGAGGGGGGTGTTCCCTCAGCCTGGCCTGCACCCTCTCGCAGTCCAGGAGCCCTCGGGAGATATCTGACTGACGGCTTAGGCCCGCTCCCATCAGTTGGATATCATTAGCGCTGCCGCGGAGGCAGGAAAGGCTCCCGCCACCACCACTGTGCTTGCCAGCCGTGAGCCCAGCTTCTGGCTGAGTGGTGCTCCCGCTGTGGGAGCGCACTGACCTCAGGGGGCAGCTCCTGCATTGTGTGTCATAGCGACCGGTCATTCCACTGTTCGGTCGATTTGCATATTAGCCTTTTATTATATAGGATAATACTAAAGCTTGAACTACAACCAGGTCTTCTGACTCCTAGTCCAATGCTGTTTCTACTATATCACATCTAGATCAAGACTGTATCAGATCTCAAGTGTTTTACATGGCCCTACATGTACATGGTCATATCCAGCATAAAAACCTAACCAACATTTGATGATGCCTAGAGTAACAGCAACATACTGTCTTGAGGGGCCTTAGCATGTTGTGATGTGCTTCTCTGGGTCTGGCTGTTGCAGTATCCAGCCTTTTGGTAAGGCAAGCTGACAGGGTATTAAGTTTTGTCTGTCTTATCAGAGGGAACGTGTTGTGATGTAAGAGCTACGTAAACATCTTTGGCATAAGAATCGAGGAACTTTCAGGGAGTAAATGCTCTTGTTCCTTCAACTCTAGAGGAATCTCCCCTTCACCTGTGTCAATGATGGTTGGCCAGGTTTTCACATCCACAGTTGCGGCTGCCTCTCGCGACTTCAGTAACCTCATTAGCATCTGCGTGGTGAGAATGCAGGCGGCTTTGCTGACCTAGAAAACAAATGAACAGAAATAAGCATCAGGAGGCTTAGCCCGCATGTAGCACCAGAGACGTTGGCTGCTGCTAAGAGCAACTCACACACCACACTGGACAGGGCACATCAGTGTTTTAAACATACACACAGGACAGCGGAGGTCAGTGCTTCCCCTTACATCTGTCCTCTGGTGATGTGTAACTCAGAGTGATGGACTTGTTCACGCACAAGTTTTTGTTGTTTGTTTGTTTGTTTAAATACCCACTACCACAAATCATGCAGTCGCGTTTCCCACATCTGGGGAAACTGCACATCTGGGTGCAACGGATAAGCCTCGCCCTGGGAAAACCACCTTTGCGATCATGGCATCTCCCCTGCCAGGTAAGTATACGGTGTTGTTCACAGTAGTGATTCTCAGGGGGTGTTCCATAGTTACAATCTCAGTATGGATCCTGCACTCTTTGGGTTTCATGAAGACCAAAATAAAATAAAAACATGGAATTGTAGTGCTCAGGAAAGGAGTTGGTGTTTGTGACAGTTTGGTGAATGGTTGGTAAAACTAACCAAACCTAGAACATATGCTGAATTTGAGGGACTCTGTGCTCTCACAGAAACTGCTGCTCACCCACACACACAAACACAAAACGACTGGCCTCCCCATAAACCGTGTCAATGGGAGGAAACTTCCCTCCCTGCTGCTCCGGCCTGCCTTGCAGAATATGACAAGGGCATTTTGTTGAACTGAACTTTGTAATAAAATCATCTGTGGTGAACACAGGTTTTATGCTGCAAGCTCCAACTGCTGACAGAGCAGCAGTTCTTAAACAAGTGTTACATAAATTGGAATTTTGTAACTCTTTGCTTTAAAGGACATTAGGACATGATGCAATAAAGATTTATCTTATTTTCTTTAATTCTCATATTCTGCAGAAGCTTCTGTCACTTTCAGAGCAAGCTCTGGACACTTCTTTAAAACTATGCTGGATACATACTGAATTTATAAAATTAAGCAAAATAAAAGTGATCTAACACTGGGGAGAATTCAGTTTGGCAAATAAAATTACCTTGGTTATTGTACAGAAAAAAACCCAGAACATTTTTTTAAAAGAAGGGATCGACCAATGAATGCATAAATAAGTAGAACAACAAATTGATGTTTCTCTCTCTCCCTCCAATCAATCAATAAAAATAAAAAAGGGGAAAAACAAGTTTTATAGAGAGTTACTATGATAGTTTTACCTCTTTAATGTTCATGATAATGCACATAATTCTGTATCTCATCAATAACCACTTTCCCATACTCTTCCACTGAATAACACTGGTCAATTTGGTCAGATTAAGAAAAAACAAGCTGTTTTTAGGAGAAAGATTTGACTTTCTGACTAATAGAACTGGAGAATTAGTAAGAATCCTCAGCTGTCTAAATCGGGACTTTATGAGATGAGGACAAGGTAAACCTGGTACTCACATCAACAATCATGCGGACGGTGGGCAACGTGGCGGTAAGGTTCTGAGCATGAGGAGGCCGGACAGTCACAGGAACGCACCCCGCATACAGGCAGCCATAGAATGCAGCGATTAACTCGATGCCTGCAAGACAGTCAGCTGCTTAGCTGCCTAGCATCACTGTGAAACTAACAGGCACACCTTCCCAAACTAGTTCATTAAATCATGTGTCAAATGGGTTATTCAGACTATAACATAACAGAGACACTAGCAGAAGAAATTTTTAAAACTGAGAAGGAATAGAAGGGGAAGGAGAAAGCACATAAAACAACTTAAAAAGAGAGAGAGAGGGAGAGAGAGAGAGAGAGAAGACAAGAATCAATAAGAAGAAAGGAAGTCAGACGTAAAGAAAACTCTTGAAAGATACCCCAAGAAAGTGTTTTGGTTTCATTACTTGATGTCACTTAGGAGAATTAACTGCAGAAATTAGGGATGTCGAACTTGGTAAATAAGAGAAAGGGAAAAGGAGAGATGAGGAACACACGAGTTTTCTCTAAATCTGTAGAAGGCCACCCCAGGTGAAGAGCAATTTAATTTCTAACACGTGGCTCCATCAGTGGGTACAAGTTTTAGGGAGGTAATATGAAGAAGACTCTGCAATATCAGGACTTAGCAGGTGGCCTCCTCAGAAAGTGTTCTGCTCCATCACCATGTCATAATAAACTGGTCGATGGAAGACAGTAAGACAGGAACACCATAGGAAGGATTCCTTTACCAGCTGACCTTTTAAGAAATCTTCCTATCAATGTAAATAAAATGGCATAGTAATCACAAAGCAAAATGAAATAAAAGACCAAAGAAGGCTGGATATATGAGTGGGTTAGGTGGAAGAAGAATAAAGAAAGAGACAACTCACATATTTCACCTAAAATTTTGAATATTTACATCTAACTGTCATCAAATAATTCAGAGTCCCTCTGTGAGGAGAAGGTTGTTGAATTAAATTAGAGCATGGAAGATGAAAACAGCAATAAAAGAGGAATATACTACACATCAATTACGATATGAACAACTTAAAGTCAAAAGAGTTCATGGACAACTTTCTTTTGGAAACTGGGTAAAATGGTCCCATTTCTCAACATTCCTACAAACAAAGCATCTCAAAAGTCAGGAAGTCTTCATTCATTCATTCAATAGTTACCACAGTGCCAGGCACTATGCTAGAGAATGAAAATAGAGAGTAAATACAAAAGACCCAGTCCCAGCAGAGCCATCATGCTGCCTCACTACATTAACTCGAATCTTAGCCCGTGTGCAAGGGTCTTCGGAAGTCGGGAGGTGCACAGCCTACATGGTCATGCGGGTGGCCCTGAGTTCCTGTCCTCTTAGCCTGTAGCCTAGTAATGGATCCTAGGTGCAGTCTCCCAACTCAACACTTACCAGGTGGATAGAGCAACACCACATTGTCGCCTGCATTTAGATGTCCCTTATCACCGAGAACTGACGCAATCCTCTCTGCTCGCTTGTGAAGCTGGAGGCAGCTGGCTGTGCACACAGTTGTGCCCTTTAAACAGGAGGAAATATAGATCATTAAGAAAATAAAACAGTAACAAGTATAGCCAATTTGATATTATACCTAAAAGACTTGTGCCATGGTAGATTGTTTTTAGCTATTTATCAATTCCAGTGAAAATCCCTCTGGTGCCAAAGGACATTCTTTTTCAATGCCTAAAGGTACTTAGGGAATATCAACATTAACTTAAATCAAACATATGTACTTACAGTCTTTCTTGCTTAAAATAGCTTTAGCAATACACAGGGATTGTTTTCATTTAAATGAGGAAATAAGAGTAAAGGGAAAATAAAGGGACTGCTAAGTAGGTTGAGGGCAGGACAATCAATGCTGGCCATGTGGTCATGTGCATTTGCTGGGCATTAAGCACATATTTGATTGAGTTTCTAACAGCAAAGATGTAAACAAAACAAAAACAATCAGTGTTACTAGCTAATAATAAAGATTAGCAGATTAGAAGATGGACAACTATTACTGATCCTGAGAATAATTTCCCCTGTGGGTCTTCATAAATATCCTTATTATCAACTAGAGGCCTGGTGCACAAAACTTGTGCACGGGGGGTGGTGGGGTGGGGAGCAGAGGGCTGTCCCTCAGCCTGGCCTGCACCCTCTCACAATCTGGGACCCCTTGGGTAGGGTCCCTAGGCCTGGCCTGCAATCAGGGCCTATTGGGGCTTTCCTTCCCCCGGCTGCTGGCAGCTGGCCCCACCCCCGCCGCTGCCACTGCTTGCCATCTGTGCTCTGCTGTTGCCCCCTCCCCCGCCACCAGTCACCTCCCTCTGCAGGTGACAGGTGTGGGGTGCGATCGCTTGGCTGGCCTGGGTCTCCCTCTGCAGGGCAATCGCTGGCCGGCCCCACACACCTGCCACAGTGTCGCTGGCTGGTGGCCTGGGTCTCCCTCGGTGGGGTGATGGATCGCAGGGCCCCCAGATCGATCATCCTGCAGAGGGAGGCCCTGCCCACCTGCTGCAGCACTGGCGGCTGGATAGCCTGGGCCTCCCTCTTTGAGGCAATCAACTGCAGGGCTCTGCTATCGATCGCCCAGCAGAAGGAGGCCCCGCCCACTTGGCCGGGGCTCCGAGATTGATCACCATGTGGAGGGCCTTCCCCCCACCCCCTGATCGATTGTCCCATTGGCTGGTGGCCTGGGCCTCCCTCTGCAGGGTGATTGTGGGGCGATGGCGGGGCCCCCCTGACCAATCACATCACAACCACCTTGGCTTGCCTGGTGCCAGTGCGTGTCATAGTGTGGTCATCCAGAAGGTCATTCAGCTGTTCAGTTATTTGGTCAATTTGCATATTATGCTTTTATTATAATAGATTCAAGTTTCACTAGCCTGGGCTTTTTAAACTCCTTTCCCTTGTAAAAATTTCCCACAAAAAGGAAGGTGCATAAAATATAAAGCAGCCCGGCTACTGTGGCTCAGTGGTTGAGTGTCAACCTATGAACCAGGATGAGAGAATCATTGATCGGCTACCTCCTACACACCGTCCACTGGGGATCAAGCCCGAAACCCGGCATGTGCCCTTGACCAGATTTGAACCCGGGACCCTTCAGTCCGCAGGCTGACACTCCATCCACTGAACCAAACCAGTTAGGGCTGAATAGTTTCTTTTAAAAATAACATATTTTTAATTTCAGTAATATAAAATAGGGACATGTTCCATATAGAAAATTTGGAAACTATAGATAAATACAAGATGTAACCACTATTATATAAATTCACAAGAAACATTTTAAAAAAGGTATCATATCTGCCCTGGCTGGCGTGGCCCGGTTTGTTGGAGTGTCGTCCTGTGCACAGAAGGGTTGTGGGTTCAATCCCAGTCAGGGCACATGCCCCAGTTGCAGGCTAATCCCCAGTCGGGGTGCGTATGGGAGGCAACCTACTGATGTTTCTCTCTCTCCCTTCCTCTCTCTCTCTCTAAAACCAATAAAAACATATCCTCGGTGAAACTTGACTCAGTTATTTTTTTAAAAATATATTTTATTGATTTTTTTTAAAATATATTTTATTGATTTTTTACAGAGAAGAAGGGAGAGGGACAGAGAGCCAGAAACATCCATGAGAGAGAAACATCCATCAGCTGCCTCCTGCACACCCCGCCACGGGGGATGTGCCCGCAACCAAGGTACATGCCCTTGACCGGAATCGAACCTGGGACTCTTCAGTCCACAGGCCGACGCTCTAGCCACTGAGCCAAACCGGTCAGGGCTTGACTCAGTTATTGAAACACTTTTAAGTATGTTTGGAATAACTTGGGCATTAATCTACTTTTTCAACTACCAATTGTAGGATATGTAAATATAGGCCAAATATTTCTGGTGCAAATTTAGCACTTGAATGAAAAAGTACTCTAAGTTTAAAAATACACATAGACTTAGAAGATTTCACATATACATGTTAAATATATAATTAATAATTTTTATATTGACATGTTGAGTTGATAATATTTGGGAGATATTTGGTTAAATAAACATATTAATTTTAATTGCTTAAAAAAAACATATCTGCCCTAGCCGGTTTGGCTCACTGTATAGAGCGTTGGCCTGCGGACTGAAGGGTCCCGGGTTCGATTCTGCCCGGAGGCACATGCCTGGGTTGCGGACTTGATCCCCAGTAGGGGGCATGCAGGAGGCAGCCTGTCAATGATTCTCTCTCATCATTGATGTTTCTATCCCTCTCTCTTCCGCTCAATAAAAATATATTAAAAACAAAACAAAACAAAACAAAAAACATATCTTAGGGTGAGGATTAACAAATACATGCATAAATAATTGTTTTAAAAAGGCATCATATCATACTATCTTCCAGAGGCTGTCTAAGTGAAAATGTGGCCTCTGTCCAGCTGGTGTGGCAAAGTGGACTAAGCATGGTCCTATGCACAAAGAGGTCACCAGTTTGATTCCTGGTCAGGGCATAAGCCCGGGTTTCGGGCTTGATCCCCAGTAGGGGGCGTGCAGGAGGCAATCAATCAATGTTTCTCTCTCACTGACATTTCTATCTCTCTTCCCCTCTCCCGTCCTCTGAATACAATATTCTGGTGAACCATCATTAGAAAGCAGTAGTTAAATGCATTCAAATAATTTTCAAATTGCTTTTTATCTGTCAGCAATAAATTACTTAATTATGTACCAAAAATAACTGTTTTAAAAATGCTGATCTAAAGTCACTTTCTTCCTGGCAGAAATCAAAGAATTAAAAGTCAAACTGGGTAAAAAATTATGTGACATAATGCATTCCATATATCTATAGATATATGTAATTGCATTGTTGGCCCCACCATTCCTCATAGAACTGAAAAAAGATGACTTGATTGTAACACAAGAAAAGACAGTATTAAATAACACTGCAGGAGGTCTCATTTCAACCTTGAATGATTGCACAACTTATCCTCATATGTCAAAACAAGGAGAAAGCAGTAACTCTTTCCTCAGAGTTGGCAACAGACATTTTCTGATGAAAGAGATCAAAAGTGCCTAAGGTACTCCCACAACATTCACCTGATTTGATATAAAAATGAAGTTTTCATACCTTTGCATTTAACAGCATGAAGAGTACATGGTCAGGGGTTGCCTGGGCTCGCCACTGTAATATCTCTGCCAGAAATTGGTGCTAAAGTCACAAAGCAGAAAAAAGAATCAGGTTCAGCAACCTTTGAAAAGTTGGATAACACACCTTCCATCTGCTACCTGAAGTTCAAGTTTGGTCCCTGACCTGTTTGTAAAAATCAGCACTTCTGGAAACTTACCTTCCTCACTAAATCATTCTCTTCAATTTGCCCGAGATCCCTTCCTGCAGCTTGTGCTATGCGTTTTCCAGCAACCAGATTCCCAACCATCACAGAAGCAGGGCCTACACCTGTAAGCAAAGGCAAAATTCAGCTATGGAGATGGTAATTCAGTATACTTTTAGACCGACCAAAACTGGTTCAAATAATTGAGCATTCTCCTAGGGACTGGGAACACAGGAGCAAACAAGACGAAGAACTTGAATTCTAGCGGGGAAAGGCAACTACTAAGCACATACACAAATAAGTACAAAACAAAATAGGCCCACAGGAATTGGGGAATTGGGGGGACGGAGGAGAGCAGGTGGGTATAGGGAAGTTTCTACTCTGAGGAGGTGACGGTTGCAAATGCTCCAATCACAACACAACCCTAAAAGTGAGTTTATCAGTAATGAATATCTGATCTGGAAAGAAATCTGCTTTCTACGAGAACTGAGAGTGAGTTAGTTCATCCGGAATATCAGAAATGCTTTATTGAGAGTGAATAACAACTAGATTATGGGATATTCTATAAGACAGCTAGCCTGGACTCCTCAAAAACGTCCACATCTTGAAGACAAAATATGGCTGGGAACTTCCAAATTAAAGAACATGTCACCCACAAAGGACTTGTATGCATGTATATAAGCCAAACCAATGGACGTGGACAACAGGGGGATGAGAGCATGGGGGGGGGGGGGGGAGGATGGGGGTTAATGGGGGGGGATGAGGACACATTTGTAATACCTTAACTAATAAAGAATTTAAAGATAAAACAAACAAACAACAACAACAACAACAAAAAGAACATGTCACCCAAAGGAAATTCGTGACCTTCGAGGGATACTGGATCTTGAAAAAATCAGCTATAACAAGCAAGTGGAGAAATCTGATTATGGACTGTACTATTAGATGAAAGCATTATATTAAGGTTAAATTTCTTAATAGGATAATGGTTGATTAGGAAAATTTTGGGAGAATGTTTTTGTTCTTTGGAGATACATTGCTGAAATACTTAGGGGTGAAGGGCCATGATGTCTGCGATCCACTTTCAAAGAGTTCACTAAAAAAATGGTAACAATTGGTTAATCTAGAAGACGGTTATCGGGTGACCATTATACTATTCTTTCAACTTTTCCGTAGGTTTGACACTTCAAAGTAAAAAGAGAGCCTGGCAGGTGTGGCTCAGTGGTTAAGTGTCAGCCCATGAACCAAGAGGTCACCAGTTCCATTTCCAGTCAGGGCACATGCCCAGGTTACAAGCTTGATCCCCATAGGGGGCATGTAGAAGGCAGCCATCGATTGATTATGTTCCTCATCGATGTTTCTATCTCTCTATCACTCTCCTCTCTCTCTAAAAATCAATTTAAAATTTTTTAAAAATTAATAAATAAAAAGGGAGAACTCCGCCCCCCCCCCGCCCTCTTTTAAGAAAAAGGTGCTAGTGTTCTTTATGCCTTTCTTGGTGGGTTGGTCACTTAAAGATTAAGACTCTACTGAATCAAACTAAGAAAATGGCTAAAAGATAACAAAATGTATCGTCAGTTGAGTTTTGATTAATGGTGATGCTTAGATTAATATTAAATATCTTTTATTGCCAAAATCTGTTGCTCTTGAATATATTGAAGCAGCTGGAAAAAAAATCACTTAAATCATAGAAGCACTTTAAAATATTTGGAAAAGCTGGGTAAAGGATACAGGGAATTCTTTGCATTATTTGGCAATTTTTGTGTGAAATTACTTCAAATAAAACATTTAAAAATTTAAATGGAATAAAAAATTCAAAAAGTGTAAAGTACCCCAACACTCTGAGTGCTGAACACTTTTTCTTTTAAATCTTTATTGTTCAAAGTATTACATAGGCCCCTGTTTCCCCCATTGACCCCCTCCAGCCCCCCCTGCCTCTGCCCCTGCCCCTGCCCCTCACCACCCCACTGTCTGCGTCTATGGAGTGCTGAACACTTTGTTTACAGAAGTGCCTTACTGCAATTTTAAGTATAATATGCAAAATTCCTTCCTAAGAAACTGCATAATAAGTTACAGATATCATGTTGGAGAGGTTTTTATATAGGCAGGGCTCTGCAAATTTGACTGTGCTAGTTGCCCAATCCTGTATTCACATGTAATATAATAAAGGTGTGACATTTTTAAAAAGTAAAATTTTCAGAGTTAACTTAAAACAAAAATAATTCAGCAGCAATTTCTTCAGATCCTACTATGTACATTTCTTGAGCCCATGGGTCACAGAAAGTAAAAAGTAACTGAAAGCAGGAGCATCTAGGAGGCTAATTGCTGACATTTTGCTGTACCTGTAAATATGCCTTATTTTGCCCACAAAACTCTGTACATTTCCTGTGGCAAAGACCACTAGTCATCAACCCCAATGTCTACTCTCCTCCTCTGCCTTAAAAACAGACCGCCAGTTTGTCGCCTGGAATAAAGACTATATTCTTTAGTACTGGATAATAATACATGAGGAAATGATATATGCAATTTCTAGAAAATATGCTTAAAGGGGGCGGGTATTCCCTTCTTTGCCTTTTCCTCCCACCTGCTGGCTAGAACGCAGGAAGGACGGCTGGAGGACAGGAAGCCTAGGGATGGCTGTGGCAGACCGTTATTTTCTCGCAGTCCTTCCTGTCCGTGCTGTGACTCCATGGGAGGAGTCTACCTCTCTGTCCCAATGACTCTGGGTTGGTCTGACTTGTTTGGGACAATGAAATGTTAGAAGACAGGACATAAACACAAGTTTTAAAGATGCTTGTGTGATGTGGCTTGCCTTCTTGCTTTTGCCATTTGCTCTGACAAAAATATGGCCCAGGTAGTTGCTGGTCCCATGATGAGGAGACACATGGAATGACTCTAACCCAACTTACAGCCTGAAGCCAAGGCCAGCCAGCTGATCCCAGCCCACAGCTCCACATCCCATGAGTGAAAAACAAATGCTTCTTATTTAAGCCGCTGAGCGTTAGGGTTATGTGGTATGCAGCACAGCCACAGTAATAGTTGACTGATGTAATACCAGAGCAGAGAGGTGGGAAATTGGAATCACAACGACTGAGGAGCTGCCATCCTAGTCCTGGACTGCCTAGCTCTGCCTTTCCTTTACCTTAGAAAGAGATAAACCTATCTCCTGTTTAAGTTGCTGTTATGTTTTTCTGAAACTTGCAGCCCAAATCAGTCCTAACACATTCCCATTCTTTAGACAATAGCTCCAACAGATAGGTATCTCAATGAGATTCCCGCCCCCCCACCACTGCCTTAACACTTATTCCATCTTCCTTTCCCTCTCTTTTTACCCATCTCAACTCTCTGTATTCTTCTTAAACTCCAACCTGTCATGCGATCCCCACATCATCTTCAACTCATCTATCCCATGATTTCCAAACTGCTTTGGTCTGACCCATATATATCCCACTTAGATCTTAGCAGGTAATCACAACAGACAGCAAAAAACAGAGCCAAACCTAATGCTTTCTTCCAGAAGACAGGTGGATGTTATGCCCATGTGGGCTTAGGAATAAATTTCTGAAATAGGTTTTATCATTTAATAAAATTAGGTGAAATCTGGCTGGCAAAAGCAATGTTTTTAGGCAGCTCCTATGTCTCTAAGTAGCACATTTTAAGCATCTATTATGACACAAATGTTTTGTTAAAGGAATTCTAGATTAAATGCAATTTAAATAGAATTTTACTCACATGACAAATGACTGTAGGACTTCAGTGTAACAGGATTTGAGATGGAGAATGATTGTGTATTTTATACATCTGTCAGATACTTAGGCAGGTAATAAATGTATACTTTTTATACATTTCTTAATTACTGACATACAAACTTCTTGGTTTTAATTGTCCCTTTAGAATATTAGCCTCCTTAAACTCTTATTTCCACTAGCAGAAACTAATAAATGTCATATATACTTTAGCTCTACACACACTGTTACTAAGATGAGGTTAGTTGGTGAGCTGACAATAACATCTGGATAAACAGCTGTGATATATGATCTTAGCCACAAGAACCCTGATGTAATAACTATTGCAGAGCATGTTAACATTTTAATATTGTGATAAAAACACCTAGAGAGTCAGAGGCGTACTTGTATTTTGTTACTGAGCATTCATGTTTACTTTTCAGTAAAAGCGGTCTTACAGACATACAATTAAATACCACGCTTCCCTGTCCCTTCCCTATCTTCCCACTGCTACCTTCTCTTCCCAGCACAGATGGAGGCTGATGTGCTGGTGTACATCGTGCGTGTGGCGGCAGCAGGATCTGTAAAGGCTAGTTTTGGGCTCTCATGTTTTAAGGCCTCCAGGAAACCAGGAGCCTCTCATTGACTTCTCAATGAAATGAAAAAGCATCAATAAAACTTAATGATTTCATGTTGGATTGAACTGACAGTTTAACATGACTGACCATCCATCAATTACTCCTGCCTTTAGCCTCCTAACTCAGTGCTATAACCTACATCTGCTCAGAAATTAGGCAAAAGGGGGAAATTGACTGTTTGTTTTTCTTTTCCATATGGCAATTCATATACTCTTATTTGCGTCTTGAAGTCATAGGAATATGGCAAATGCCAAACATGCTATTTACCTGTGCTTACAATTCAGAAAATTTCAGAATTAAAAACTTTTCCCCTCAGAGCTGTTACAGGCCCAAATCAGACACCTAAAGCTAAAAGGAATGAGGGATGACTCTGGGTAAGAGAGTCCCAACAGAAAGGCAGTGTGATTTAGCAATTCAGAGCATGGATTTTAGAGTCAATTAGTGTGACGCTCACCTCTGCCACTAACTATCTGACTTTGGGCACAATTCTTAACTTTCCTGAACTTTACTTTCCATAGCTGAGCACAGAGCTTTAGGATCACATTTGTAAAACATAAAAATTAGCTAATATTTGGCTTTTAGTAGGCACTCAATAAATACTAGCTATCTTATTAAAACCTCCCTGTAGGACTTGCTTTATTCTGCTTCCCAAGTGGGATTCTGAGTGTCTTGACTCCGTGCCTCACATCCCAGGGAAAGGAGGAACACTACTAAGAATTACTTAGGAGAGGGAGCCAACAGGGAGCAGGAGAAGCCGTCCTGCAGGGTCTCAGTCCTCCCTGCTTTCAGTCTGATGATAATTATTCTCGTTACTAACTTTTGTAAAGTCTGATTTTAGAGAAAGAATCACGGGGGGAAAACTCAGCTTCTTGAATTTACAATCTCACCATTACATCTTCAAAGCCAGCGCATTACCTGGTTGCTTTTGCCGGGGTTTTGGCAAATTGGTCACGCATGTATGTGGGCACATGAGGATATTGCACGGATGTAGAGATCCTTCCAGAAAGAGCTGTTTCGTTTGAGATATGTGGATTCCTCCTAGTGGAGTTTTTGGCAATGTATTGGCAGGCACCAGAGCAAGACAATAAACCCCCACTTGATGAATGCTATCGATTGCCTGGAAAAAGAGAAATATTCCGTGAGATTAATTTTACACAATTCATTATTCTATTCTAGAATTTTCTTTCTCTATACATTCTATTCTAGCTCTGGAATCTGGAAGATTATTAAGATCCCATATGTCTAAAGTTACCTAATCCGTTCAATGATGGTAGAAGTCAACAGAAGGGCAAGATACTATCTAAAAGGGCAGAGGTAAACACTGACTTGCAAGCCTCAATGTGTTGAGTGATAATGTGAAAAACCTAGTAATGTGTTTTGGTTGTTTTAAACAACTTAAAAGGGCAAAAGAATAAACTTAAAAATCAATACTCCTCCAACTACCCTCCTTATCAACAGCAACAAGTGGGAAGTCTGGCAGAGTTCCTAAGTCTCCGGTATCTCAGAGTTACAGAAAGTTAACAAATGTACTACTGCATGTAGCCTTGATTTCCTACTGAATACACCTTTTGGTAAGGTGTCTACTGACCACCTTCCTTAGTTAGGTATTTACTTTATTACACATAGACCTGGAATTAACCACCACTGGGCTCTACCTACCAGGACGTATGGTACCCTTACTGTTCTACTACGAATCCAAGTGCTCCAAGCTGCGAAGCTACAGAAACTGCAAAAATAATGCCCTTTTATTTCATGCGCAAATCAGACCCCAAATGACTTTTACAAGAATTTGAATTAGCATAGCATTTAATTCCTATAGTTGCTTTCCAAAAAAATAACAAATATCTTGGGGAATTTCAGTTTCCTGTGACAGGAAAAAACATAATTCACTACAAGATTCAACCATTATGCCCCAAAGTTCATTGTGAATGAAATAAGCAGTTTATGTGTTTGAAAACATGAACAGTATAAGAAATACTCTCTTTGCAAGTCTGGTTCTTAGCCACCTTTCAGAGATCAGCCCAGGCCCACCTTCTTCAGAGTCTTTTCTGTCTAGTGTATCTTCAATAGATATCCTTTCTTTCCCTGATTTCCACTACAAATAGCCTATGTTATGCCAGCTGATAATTCAGAATCACAGACCCCGAGGATAGGAAGAAATCTTAAAAGTCACCTAGCCCTATCATTCATCCCACGATTGCATCATTTCTACAACATTACAACTACACTGGCAATTAATACATCCAAACGGCCCAAGCTGACCAGTTATGGATGTTGGGAACACTCCCAGTGACATGTAAGTTGCTATGGCCAGGACAGGCCATGTTTTCTTTAGACCTTTCATTACCAACCAACACTTACTAAGCCTACTATGATGATGTGCTGGCATAGCTAACAGGTTCTGGGGACTGAGCAGGGGACAAAAGAGATAAAGTCTTGGCCTTCATGGGGCTTATAATATAGTGGATGTAGAAAACAATAAATATAAACATACTTATCCTATCCTAGATGCGAGACGGGCCAGAGCCCTGGAGCCCTCCCCGGTCCTGATCATGCACCAGTGGGGTCCCTCGGCCTGGCCTGTGCCCTATCACAATCCGGGACCCTCGGGGGATGCTGGAGAGCTGGTTTTGGCCCGATCCCGCAGGCCAGGCCGAGGGACCCCACTGGTGCACGAATTCGTGCATCGGGCCTCTAGTATGGTGACCAATACTAAGTAGAAAAATGAAGACAAGTGAGGGGACAGAGAGTAAAAGGAAATGTTATTCAGTCATCATTTACTGAATGCGGGCACTAAATGCCTCAATTAATTATCTAATTACTATCAATTAATCCTCCTAATAGCTCTGTAATATAAATAATTTTATGCCCACTTTATAGATTAGGAAATAGGATCCCTGAGGTTAAGTAACTTGCCTAAAAGCATATATGTGGTGGGGAGAGGAGCTGGCATTCAAATGAAGACAAGTAAGCTTCTTTCATCACTCTAGCCTGCCCCCTCTAGAAACATATCCCTATACTGAAACCAAATCTTTCCCTTCCCCTAGTGGTTTATGTCACCCAGATCTCTAACTTCACAATAAAGTCCTTTCAAAGTAAGAACAACACCCTATATTTATTTGGATCCCTTGCACTCTACGCACCACTTTTAACATGTAGTAAGACTGTAGCTGTTGACAAGTGGATTGATTACTGCCGAAGATGTGTTCCACATATGGACGGTTAAAATTTTTATGGGTTGTAAACACTTCGGAACAAAAAAGTGAAAGAATTTGCTGAGGCAAGTTAATTCAATTCTTTTTGGCAACCTGAGCAGAAAAATACTATGTGGTCCACAAGGAGAAAAGGTATTAACTATCTAGTTTTGTTAATAGCACCCAGCATATTTAAGTAGTGATTGGCAAGAAAAAAACAAGGTAGTAGAACTAGTCCACCAAAGAAAAGGTCAAGCAATGGTTGCTGCCACCTTGGCAACAAAGCTCACCTGCAGCACCCGGCTCATCCACTGGAAACTATCTTCCTCGGAAGCATCAGGTCTTTGTTCCGCAACCACCACAATGCGCTCATCATAAAATACAGACACAGAAAACACAGCAATTCTAAGAGAGACAGATCAAACACATCAGGACTCCCTTCACAACCAGCCCTGTTTACTTTGCTCAGTTGGAATACAGAGAAGGGACATCCCCACCACACTAGCCAAGAATGAGTAGTTTAGCAAGAAAATGTACAATCATTACTATCAAAACGAGGACTCAAAAAACACGTATTAAGCACCACTGTTGTGAACGTTGGGACACAGTGATAAGTAAGACAAAGGCCCTGTCTTCATGGAGTTTGCATGTCAGAGAGACAGAACAAACAAATAGAATGTCATGTTGTAATATACACTAGGAGAAAACTGAGGCAGGGTGAGGGGGTGGAGTGGTGTACTATGAAGGCAGGTGGTTGGGGAGCGCTTTCCTGAGGAGTGGACACTGGAGCAAAGACCTGAATGAAGTGAGGACGCGAGCCACGCGGAGATCTGGAGGAAGAGGTTTCCTGGCAGAAGGAACGGAAAGCGAAAAGGTTCTGAGGTAGGAACGAGCTTGGCAGGTTTGAAGAACAGCAAGAAGGCCAGTGTGCCTGAAGCAGATGGTGAAGCAGAGAGCGGTGGGGAGAGGTCAGAGCCAGGCCAGGTGGTCACAGAGGACCTGGTAGGCCAAGGGGAGGGGTGTTTTCAGAGAGGTCTCCGCTCAAACGTCCCTTACTAGTAAGGCATTCCCAGACCACCTAATAGAAACTGGCAAGCACACCCCACCCTCTATGTTTTTTTCTGCATAGCATTTGTCATCATCTCATACGTTATCTATTTCCCTATGTGGCTACCATCTGTTTCCCCCAATGAGAATGTGGCTTCACAAGGCCTGTTTTGTTCAACACCACACTGTGAACATCAAGAACAGTGGCATACAGTGGGCACCCAATAAACAGTTGTAGAATGAATGCATGAAATAATGGGAAGTCATTGGAGAACTGAATATACCCACACACCTGACCGTCTCCCTTCCTTCCTTTCATCCACACATATTTATTGAACACCTACTGTGTGCCAGGTGCTCTGCCGAGTGTTATGGGTATAGCTGTGACCAAAGTCAGGTCTAGTGCCCCACAGAGTTTACATCTCATAGGAAGCTACACCATGACAAAAACTACACATTTCAAGAATTGGTTCTCTATTGGTTTAATTCCTTTTTCCTCTTCAAATACTAAAGGGACACCAAGATTGCTTTAAAACATATATCCATGATTGTAAACAACCGAACAGGACATCCATTATTCAAATATGTACCAAAAATCTTTTCTTCAATTAATAAGCAAAGAAAAAAAGGTATCTAATTGACTTCACCCATGGAATTTGAAATTGGTACTTCAGTGCTATGCCAATCTCTGTGTTAAAATGATATAATAAATTAGAGATGAGTAAGAGAAACAATTCTTAGATGTAAAACTCCTACAAAGTAGCATCTTTCTCAATTAGACTGAATGGGACTACTTCTGTATTGAAGGAATGTAGGAAGTTCAACATTTTAGAATCCTCCTCAGTCCTCAACAAATAGTGACAATTAAAAACTGAAACACAAGGATATCATTATGTCTTATTTCTCTCAATTACAGCCAAAGAACCAGACATTTTAAGACAAATATTCAAAGCTTGGTTTCTGCTAGGCTTAACCCAAAATAACCCAATCACTTGAAAGAGAATCTACAGAATACAATCAAATCACCTGATATATTTAGATTCTACTGAAAATGTTAACATTTGAACTTTGCACTACTCACCTTCCTCTATAAACAGTCTTTATTGATTCCACAGCCAATCCGGTAGCAACAATGTCATCAGCATTATGTCTTCGACCACTAACCATGAGTAACCCGTCCATTTTTCCAACCACAAACACCAAGCTGCCCTGAAAGATAACAGTGATTTACCTTGATTTCCATAATTTAAATAGTAAAACAAACATTTTACTTCTGCCTTGAAATAAATCTCATGAAAAATATAAGAAACAATACCAAACTTTATGGATTCTGAGAAAATATTTCACATCACAGCATCTTGGAAATCAGTGGGAAAAAACCTGTGGTATCTTACAATTAATGGGGTCTTAAGGGAATCTATTCATATTTATTCTTATAAGAAAGCAACTAGGATGGCATACAAGCATAGTTTATTTTCCCAGTCATGATTATGTATTAATTTATTTTCTGTAACTATTCATGGGATGGATGCAGAGGAGAAAAATGTTGTCAATTAATACTGGAATTAGGAAGAGATAAAAATAGTTTTGATGTTAGAATGACTGTTTCAAGTTTATAAGGGTGATGCTTTTTCCATCTGGCAAGATCACAAACAGGGTAATAAAGAAAGGTCAAAGGAAGACTGCAGGAGTTTGTCCTCTGCAGTAAGATGACAGAGCTGCAGGAAAGGATGCTGTTAATGACCTAAAAGCACCACTGCCTAAATAATTTTATTTGTTATTTAATATTATTATCAATAATTCCCCAGACCCACTTGGAATAAATTAACTTTTTCCATTCACTACAGAATTCCTAAATTTCTTGTAAAATTTACATATATTCACTATCTAGTTGTCATCTCCATGTGAACATCCCTCACTGGCTGACTGGGCACAATGCAGTGCCATACACTGACCGGGTATGTAAGTATGACATAACCTCCAGTCTCAAGAAGTCACTGGTCCGTCTCAGAAAACAGAAGAGAACCATGCATTTCCAACATAGTGTGAAAATGCTAAGGTGGAAATAAAGAAAATGAGAGAGGCACTGGTCTCCTACATCCGTTTCTTCATTTCTTTCACACTATCAGAATTTTTAGCTGGGCACGGCTGATCAAAGTAAGGATGGCACTTCACCCTCCCTTGCAGCTAGGTGGGCCACTAGGCTAGTTGAGAACAATGGGATATAAGTGGAAGTGTTGTCAGCAGCTTCAGGGAATCTTCCTTACAAGAGAATAGGACTGCACCCTTTCCTCTCTCCTGCTTCCTGGAAGGCAGGTGTGATGGCTGGAGCTCCATCTTGGATGTCAACAGTGCAGTGGTAAGCTACAAGGAGCTAGGTCCTTGAGAACTTCTTGGTGCTGCCCTGGCTGGTTTCGCTCAGTGGGTGGAGCGTCGGCCTACAGACTGAAGGGTCCCAGGTTTGATTCCTGCCAAGGGCACATGCCCGGGTTGTGGGCTCGATCCCCAATAGGGGACGTGCAGGAGGCAGCCAATCAATGATTCTCTCTCATCATTGATGTTTCTAACTATTTCCCTCTCCCTTCCTCTCTGAAATCAATAAAGATATATTAAAAAAAAAAAAAAAGAACTTCTCGGTGCTGAGTGAGGAAGTCAAGACAATAGGTGTAGACTTCTCTTTCTAGAAGAATGATTCTCTTAGAGGTATTCCCTTCCCCCCACCATTCCCCATGAATATTGGGAAAGAACTATAATAAAATTATATCTTGGCCCTGACCGGTTTGGCTCAGTGGATAGAGCGTCAGCCTGCGGACTGAGGGGTCCCAGGTTCGATTCCGGTCAAGGGCATGTACCTTGGTTGTGGGCACATCCCCAGTAGGAGGTGTGCAGGAGGCAGCTGATCGATGTTTCTCTCTCATCGATGTTTCTAACTCTCTATCCCTCTCCCTTCCTCTCTGTAAAAAATCAATAAAATATATTTTTAAAAAATTATATCTTTTCTTATATAACTTAAACCATAAAGAAGAGAAGCGAGAGTAAGGAGGTAATTAGAGACAGAAGGAGGTATATGGGCCTAACTATGATAAGGAATAACTATTACTTATAAAGTAAAATCCAAACTTCCCATTATGTCATGCAAAGCCTTCCTTGCTGGCTCATGAAACTAGCTATAAGCTCTTTGAAAACAAGTTTCAGGTCCTAATTGTCTCTACAAACCCAGTGACTCTAAATACCATGTGCTGGAAAACAAATTGCTTTCATTCAAAGAATTTACTATTATACAAGTTCTATTGCTGATAATCTGTATGAAAATGCTTTGTACACTATTTATTATGGTTTCCCTTTGCTATTAAAGAAAACAGCACACTTATAACTTATTGACGCATATTAACACATTAAGCCCCATGTCAGTCACCGGTGACGGACACTATACTTTCCGTCTGGAAGACAAACCAGGCTGGGCGCTTAACGTGTTAATCAAATCAAAGAAGGGTAGCAAGAGTAAGTAAAAAGAGTTTTGAAAATAAAAAAAAGTCTCAATTTGGAGGAGTCAATGAACTTGGGTAACAGAAACAATAAACTTTAACGCATTTATTACATTCGTATAGAAAATGCTTTAAATATAAGTAAGCGGCCCGATAACACTCTTGGATTAATCAGAATTTGTTCTGTTCTGTGGATCAAAGTCCAAATATTTGAATAAGATGCATCAAAACAAACATGAAAACATCACTTACGGGCCCTACAAACCCCAGCAATCCTGACCGGATGAATGGCACATCCCCAACAGGAGAGCCTGCAGAATTCACTGGAATTACCTAAAACACAGAAAAAAATAAAGTGACAATCTGAGATTTAAATTTAAAAATGTATTTAAGAACCTCTCATGCATGTGGGATCTCTGCCTTTCATGTATGCAGGGTTCCCATACTTGTGCATATATTAAGTTTGGTATTTTCTCTTGCAAAAAATATGTATTTGTTTTAATTGGTTTGTGAGAGAAAGAGGGGAAGAGAAAGAAGGAGGGAGGGAAGGAGGAAAAGAGAGAGAGAATAGGAGGAGAAGGGAGGGGAGGAGAAGAGACACATAGACATTGATTTGTTGTTCCACTTATTTATGCATTCATTGGTTGCTTCTTGTATGTGAAGATACACTAACTAACAGAACTACTTGAGTTACCTGGCTAGGCTGTTTTGGTTTTTCAAGTCTTTAAGTGTTGTTGTTTTTTGTTTGTTTTTTTAGTTACATACAACAAGTAACACATACTAATATTATGTAAATAGTGAATACAGGAATATTACCCCCCTTAAGATATAACAATCATTTACAATTTATTGTTCATCTCTCTGTATTTTTTTTATATTATTAAGAAATTTTTTTTAAAGGGATCATATGACATATACTGCTTTGCAACTTGCCTTTTCACATAACATATCTTGGATACCTTTAGAAGTTGGTAATAGTCTATATGGCTCCCTTTGTACAATAGTTCTGTAATATACCATTGCACAGAGGACAGCGTGGCATAGCCGTTGGAGTCAAATGTAAGTCAATACCTGGCTCTGTCACTTACTAATAATGTGGATCTTGGGCAAGTTCCTGGACGTTCCTAAACCTCTGTTTCTTTTGCCATAAAATGAAATTCCCAATGCCTCTCACACACAAGCTTACAGTAAAGATTAAGGGAATGTAAACAGATTTGCAGACATCAGCACAGTGGCTGGTCCAGAGTGAGTACTCAGGAAACTATTAGAATTAGCAGTTATCAGAAAGTAACCAGTCTGTATAGCTGTGTAGGTCAACTAATTTTTCACTATTACAAGCAGTGCTATACTGAATACTCCTATACACATTTTTGTGCATTGGAATAAGAAGCACAAATCTTTTCAATTTTAACAGACTATCTTTACAAAACTGTTATATCAGTTACATTCCCCCAATAATATATGAGAATGTCTGTTTTTCCTGTACTCTAACTCATACTACACCTTATCAATTTTTCCAAACTTTGCCAATCTGGTAGGCAAAAACAAACAAACAAACAAACAAACAAACAGACAAAAAACAAAGATATCCCACTGATATTTAAACTGTATTTCTTTATTAGTAATATGGATGGATTTTCTTTCCTTTGTTTATTGGTCATTTGTATTTTACAAACAGCTTGTTCCTGTCTCCTGTTTATTTGCTCTATTTGACTGGTGTTTTTCTCTTTAATTTTTAAGATTTTTTTTAATATATAGAGGACAATTATAACAAGAGCTAACATTTATTATGCTTATTATTGTGCCAGCCACAGGACCAGCTGTTTTATAGTTAATCCTCAAGGCAATCTTATGAAACAGGATTATTATTTCCATTTTACAGATGGGAATGTAAGACACAGACAGTTTCATTTGCCTCAAATCAAACAGCTAATAAGTGGGGGCAACGGAAAATTAGCTCTCTGCTTATCATAGGTGCTAAAAAGTTTTCAGGAGCTTATTTTTGAAATACACTTTTATTTTCCGACCAGTCATTATTACTAGGTCTTTCGTCCTAGTAAAATGTTAACCACGTTGAAAAATTCTTCAGGGTTTATATATAAGATTCCAGTGAGAAAAATATTAGAAATGTTAATTTGCAAACCCAGGCAACAGTTTTCTCCTTTTTTATTTAGGATTTTTATTCTACTTCACTATCATTAAATTTATACTGCAGATTTCAAAATTTCTTCATTACTATGGACCTAGCAGTTTGGTATTAAGTCTAAGAATTTTGATCAGCCGGAACCAGTTTGGCTCAGTGGATAGAGCGTCAGCCTACGGACTGAAGGGTCCCGGGTTCGATTCCGGTCAAGGGCATGTACTTGGGTTGCGGGAACCCAGGCAACAGTTTTCTCCTTTTTTATTTAGGATTTTTATTCTACTTCACTATCATTAAATTTATACTGCAGATTTCAAAATTTCTTCATTACTATGGACCTAGCAGTTTGATATTAAGTCTAAGAATTTTGATCAGGCAGTTGTCCTTGTAGGAAAGGCAATATAACCAAATATCACCAGTATCTTCTAACACTGCTTGAGAATCTTGTTTATATAAGGCAAATGCAATAGAAAAATTCAGGTATTCAAAATATATATAGCCCTGGCCAGTGTTTCTCAGCGGTTGGAGCATTGGCCCATGCACCAAAGGGTCACGGGTTCGATTCCCCACCAAGGACACATACCTGGGTTGCAAGTCCAATCCCCAGCCATGTTCCCCAGGTAAGTTCGGGGGGCAACCAACTGATGTGTCTCTCTCACATCGATGTCTCTCTCTTTTCCCTTCCTCCCTCTATCCTTCCTTCCACTCTCTCTAAATACCAATGGAAAAAAATATCCTTGGGTGAGGAGTAACAACAAAAAAAAGAAATACATGTAGTCCAAACACTTTTAAAATAAAAGAAATAAGGTAAGATTTAAATTAGTGACATGTATATACACTCAGCAGAGGTAATTAGTCACCTGAAGAGTTTATGAAAGTCTACTCTTATTAAGGTGACTTGGTGTTAATGTTTGACGGTAGGGCAAGAATATAGCAGTAACGATGATGATGGTAATAACCGACAGACATTCAATAATTTACGTTATACCATTTTAGGCTGTGTAAATACAAATGATGGTGAGCTCAGGAATTCTAAATTTTTTTCAAATACCACACCATTTACATAGATAACACTCTCTCATCAGCTACATCTAACACTACTTAATTATATGCACTGATTTTCAAATGGGATGGTAGATAGATGTGCCCTGCCATATTGAGAACCAGTAGTCTAAATTATAAAAAAAAAAAAAGAGCCGAAACCGGTTTGGCTCAGTGGATAGAGCGTTGGTCTGCGGGCTGAAGGGTCCCAGGTTCGATTCCGGTCAAGGGCATGTACCTTGGTTGCGGGCACATCCCCAATGGGAGGTGTGCAGGAGGCAGCTGATCGATGTTTCTCTCTCATCGATGTTTCTAACTCTCTATCTTTCTCCCTTCCTCTCTGTAAAAAATCAATAAAGTATATTTTTTTTAAAAAAAAGGAAGCTTGAAGAACTGAAATTGGTTGTGGACATATAAGCCCTGTCTAGTATGAAAGGGACATGGCCCATAAACTGGAGTTCTCTGTTCCCTAAAAGGTACCCTGAGGTAGGTTAATCCCAATTATAAAATATAGACAATTAATTATGCTTGTTCTGATTTCCAGGCTCACCAGGCAAATTTTCATTACGATTTTGATTTCACATGCAGAACTGCCTGCAGGAAAGCAATGTGGTAGTTACACTGGAATATGAGCTGTTTGAGGAGCTCTGTTTGTTTATTTTCTTGATGTACTCCAAACCTCTAGAATGGTGCCAGACACATAGAAGGTGCTCAATAATACTTGTCTCACTGAAAGTTTGAATGATAGGAGCAACCTGCCCGTGACAGAGCAGTTCTTCATTTTTTCTTAGTGACCTGACATTCTGGGTTACATCCGTCTTTGTGAGCTCAGTTCACTTGAGTCTACACTTAAGAGATGGATTCTCACTATATTCTGTTAAAATTAAATATTTGGGCTTATAAAGTTCAAACCATGGCATATTCACCAAAGGGATTTTTGTAAGGCCTCTTATTTATTAACTTATTAATTTAACAGTAGCACTTCCTGTGTGCCAGGTGCTGCTCTAAGCACTTTATAAACATTAACTCACTTAGTTCTCAAAACAATCCTATGATGTAGTTACTATGGTTACTCATTTTAAATATAAAGAAATTGGGGCACAAAGAGGTTAAGCAACTCACCTAAAATCAGCTAGTGAGTGGCAGAGTTAGGATTTGAACTAGGGCAGCCCAGCTCTAGAGCACATACTTTCAACCCACTATATTATGCTATTTCCCACGAACCAAGTCATCTGCCCTAGTGACACCCTCACCAAACATTTTCCTGGCAACATTTTAATTTCATGTACCTCAAAGGTATTTTTGGTCACACCAGCAAGCCCAAAGTACATCATGCCCCCTGTTCTGGAGCTGACACATATCTCTCCAATTTCGTCAGTTCTGCAGAGCTGGGGAGGTCCATCAGGTCTCACGATGCACATCATCCCTAGTGCACAGAAAACACAGTCAAGAAGCAGAGGCCCTGGAAAACCTATGCTTCATCCTTGTGAAACCAGGAAAGTTTTGTATTTAGTGTGAGTGGCACTGAGTAAGAATAACCAAAGAAAAATGTTAAAAATAAACCAGGAATTACATAGGTTTATTTGAAATTTCCATCTTTAAATACCATCTACTCTGATGATACACAAATACTTTTTTTTTAAATTCAGCAAAACAACAACAGCAACAAAACATATAACAGATGCAGACTGAAGCTTTTAAAGACAGTGACATTAAAAATGACTGCAAAGTCCAAAGAAACAGGTGAATTAATTTCCCCCGAAGCAGATCAAACTCAAAATACTCATGGAAGCAGTGTGTTCTTCCTGCCAGTCCCAATGGCTTGGCAATTACGGCAAAAACCAACTTTAATATCACTTGGACTTCGCTTTCCATGGGAAAGCGAACAGCTGTAATTAGCATCCACAATTAAATCACATGACACTGCTGGAAGGTAAGTATAATCAGATTTACTTAACTGTTAGAAAGGCTTTGAGAAACTAAGTGACTAAATTTTGAGTTCCTGGTTTTGGATCCCGTATTTTATCAGCCTCTACTATCTCTAATGAAAAATCTTTGTGGAAAAGCAAATGATATTCCTGAGAACTCACCACCAGGCATGACATGTCCCACATCCTGGACTGTTAGTGCCGAATTTTTATCTTCAGTATTGACCCGTATTACCCCATAGCTCAATCCATTCATTGAGAGAATGGCCCTTCCCGGCAGAGGGGCCCCTGGAACTCCAGGCCTGAAAACAAAATACACTCATCAAATTTGGCAAATGAAATAATGGAGAAAAATATGAGTACGTAGGAAAGCAAATTTCCTCCAGCTAACACACACACACACACACACACACACACACATGCACACACGCACACACACACACACACTTTTTCAAAGCATGGTCAATTTTCATTCAGGTGGAAAAAGTACATTTAATCAGATGTTAAGAATATATTGATCTTGGGTATACTACAAATGTACTTTGCACACGCAAGCCACAATCAAGAATAGCCTATTTCTAGTCTAAGATACTGAGGATTCTGAAGAGCAAAACAACACAGAAAAAGAACTAATTCAAAAAAATGAGATGAGAATAATTAAATTTTCAGGTTACCAGTTATACTTAGTGCAGGAGTGGGAAGAATAAATGAGATGCTTCAGACTGCTTTACAAAGTCATTTTCACTTTTAGACTTACGAAGCAGAAAATCAGTTAACGCCCCTTGTCACTGCCTGGTAAATTTTGCACATTTGATCGAAGTTGTACATGAAGAGCACTGGTGTCCTGAACGATACCTGCGGATCGCGACAGTCATAGCCTCAGCAGAAGTAGCGCATGGACAGATGGCCTCTGGTTTCAGTCCGTGGCTCTGGAACAGACTCAGGAAGGCATCGCAGGATGACACAGACCCTATAAGGAGATGGAACAGGTCAACTTGAAAGCTGACATCGTGGTTTTCATTACTGTAGGAAACGTAAAGAGTGGAGCCAATGCATTTTTTTCTCATGAGAACTCTTACTGTACACCATTAATTCCATCCAAACACTTTACTGTGCCGGTGAAATGGCTGATACATATCAAGGACACGATTTAAAGCTACAACTTGTAATAAAGCTGCTCCTAACGAGCTTCCCAATCAATACAGAAATGCAGAGGTGCAGTGTGGCCAGTCTGGAACGGAGCAACGCATCCTGAATAACTATGTTAGCCAGCGCAGTACGAACACTCTGGCTTAGTGCCACCCTTTTCTACGTGATACTCCCCGACTTGTTTCTTGTTAAGGTCAATCCCATGTCTGTGTTTTATTATACAGGATGATTAATGTGGCTACTGACAAAAATCCAGTATGACAAAGAAACATAGTATCTAACATTTTACCTGGTTCTACTGTGTGGAAGCTCAGGATGTTTGTGTTTGTGGGGGAAAGCAGGTGACATGGGGGATCTCTAAAAGCTTTTGCAAACTTGATTTGCTGCTAGGGGGAATTTACATAAAGTGCAGGCACTTGGTTACATCAAGTCACTTTCTTATCATTCCTTTTAGTTACATGATAGAAAAAGGATATAAATGAGTGAGCAAGAAGGAGTGGATTTAAAAGCATATGGATCCGCCTAGTCAGGTGGCTCAGTGGTTGAGCATCAACCCATGAACCAAGGGGTCACAGTTTAATTCCCAGTCAGGGTACATGCCTGGGGTTGCCAGCTCGATCCTTAGTAGGGGGTGTACAGGAGGTAGCTGATCAATGATTCTCTCTCATCATTAATGTTTCTCTCTCTCCCTCTCTGAAATGAATAAAAAACATATTTAAAAAAATATTTTTACCCATCCATCAAATGATGAACAGATAAAATGTAGTATAGCTATACAATGGAATTATTACATGGCAATAAAAAGAAATGGAGTCTGAACACATACTACAATGTGGATGAACCTTGAAAACATTATGGTAAGTGAAAGAAACCTGTCACACAAGAGCAATATGGTATAACTGCCTTTATATAAAATGTCCAGAATAGGTAACTCTACAGAGACAGAAAGTAGAAGATGCTGAGTAGTAGGGGACAGTGGAGGAGAAATGAGGAGTGACTACTAATGGGTATGAAGTATCTTTTGGGGGTGATGACAGTCTAAACTTAGATCATGGTGATGGCTGCATACTTTGTGAATACACTGAAACTATTAAACTGCACACTTTAAATGGGTGAGTTTTCTGGCGTATGAATTATATCAAATGACAAATGTTAAGGAAAGAAGAGTCCCCGACCTACACCCTAGAAGTACTCACAGGGATTTGCTCCATCAGTCACAATTAACATCCGGAGGGAACTCAAGCTCACATCTCTTTGGTCCCGATGTGCCATCATAGCCCAGTGCAAGTCTCGACATTTTACTAAAGCGACCTTGGCTACAAATTCAAAAGGGATAGAGTTAACATACACATACATGCTAATTAGGTAGATATTTAACATACTATCATAAAAACTTTTAGTCATTTTAGGGATCATGATTTTCACTTAGAGAAAATAAAGAAGGTTTCAAAGAACGTGTGCCCGGTGCTCTGAGGCAGCAGTGACTAACTGGACACACACTGTTTGCTCACTGTGACCTGTAGGCAGGACACATATCTTTGCCAAGGAAGCTCTGAACACCAAAGTACTCAATAAATCTGATTCAGGGCTCAAATTCAGGCAAATTCATCTCAATTCTTAAGAAAGGACGTCATAAGAGATGAAAATGACAACACACCTAAGTTTAGTAACTGAATTCTAACATTTGTCAAGCCACCAAAGCATAGGACTATGTCTCTAGAAGGGTGACTTGATAATCCCTGAAATCTTAGTTCAAACAGTCACATAGTTAAAGCTCAGATGTTGTGTGTAGCTACCTTTGTGGGCATGTACTCTCTGGACCCAAGAGAGAGGGCAAGTCTTCATAACAGAGTAGGGTACACTAACTGTATGCATCTTATTCATTACATTCTGAAAAGCAAAGAAAGATAAAAAGTAATCAATACTAAATACACATATAGCATTTTAAAACTGAACTATCTTGTTAACAATTTTAATCACATGTAATATATACTCAAATACACGCTCTTTGAAAAAAATATGAAATATTAACTTTAAGGTTGAAGCCTGATTTGCTCTCTACCCTTAACCCTGGTTCCCTCTCCTCCTCAGAGATAATCACTATTACGAATCTGGCATGTATCCTTCCAGTTCTTTTTCTATGTATTTACATACATAGTTGTCCCCATGGAAACAAAGTATTGTTAACATAAAAGGCATCATGCTATACATATATCTGCAATGTACTTTTTTTCACTTAAATTGTTTCAGAGCTAAATCTATGCACATCAGTATGAGATCTACACAATTCTTTTCGAACTGTTGCATAGTATTCCATAGTATGACTACACCACAATTTATTTAGGCATTTCCCTATTATTAGTAATTGTTTTGCTGTTACAAACAATGTTTCAAGGAACATATTTATACTTCCCTGAGTATATGTACAAGTGTTTTTCTAGGGTAGGTACAGAAAAGTGGTACTGCTGGGTCACAGGATATCTGCTTTTAAAATTTAACAGATGCTGCCAAACTGCCCTCCACCCCACTAAGTGCTTTCCTCATGCTGGCGCTTGCCACGTACCACAAAGGGTTGGGTTACAAAACTATATCAACGTTTCCCTGTTACTTAGAGGAGGTCCTGCCCACACCTGTTGGGTATTTGAGTAGATAGAGCTGAGTGAGCTGAGAGGGTCATGCAATTTGGTGTCTCCTGTCACCCAAACGAATGAATACACCCAGGACCTCCTGTCCCAAAAGACCCAGCCTAGCAGAATTACTAAGTCTTGGTATCTAGGCTGGCCATTTTTCTCACCACCTAAGTGGCCCAAAGAAACCAAGATACCATTGTTAACTTCTTTTTCCTCCCTCCCCAAAGTTTCTAGGTATGGTGACAAACTTTTGGATTTCAGAGAAAGAATGGTGTTTATAGCTAATTCTTCATACTTTGTCCCTCTAACTCAGCGGTTCTCAACCTGTGGGTCGCGACCCCTTTGGGGGTCGAACGACCCTTTCACAGGGGTCGCCTAAGACCATCGGAAAACACATATATAATTACATATTGTTTTTGTGATTAATCACTATGCTTTAATTATGTTCAATGTGTAACAATGAAAATACATCCTGCATATCAGATATTTACATTACGGTTCATAACAGTAGCAAAAGTTATGAAGTAGCAACGAAAATAATTTTATGGTTGGGGGTCACCACAACATGAGGAACTGTATTAAAGGGTCGCGGCATTAGGAAGGTTGAGAACCACTGCTCTAACTCCTCACAAGGGGTTCTTAACCTCTGATAAAAAACAAAATAGCACCCCGGCCGGGTAGCTCAGTTAGTTAGAGCATCGTCCCAATACACCAAGTTTGTGGGTCTGATCTCTCGTCAGGGCACAAAGAAGCAGCGACCAATGAATGCATAAATAAGTGGAACAACAAATTGGTGTTTCTCTCTCTCTCAAATCAATAAATGAAAAACAATGGACAGGGCTTTGGGAGCTAGGAAGTATGTACACTCAAGGAATAGGCTCTTGTTAATTTGAGGGGTCCTGAGTGAAAAGGGACCCCCTCCTCTTCCCCGATGCTTCATTTTCTACTCTTTCTCAGACTCCTGCAGTATGTAAAGAAGTTGAACAAGATACTCGCAGAGTTCCTTTTCAACTCTAAGATCTTGTACCTCTTTTCTCTCCCTTCCTAATCACCATGCTACATATGGTAGCTTTTCCCACTTGAAATGTCCCCTCTCTCTACCTCCACCACAAAAATATCTATGTGGCTAAATCTTAGCCATTTTTCAAAGCCCGACTCAACTGCTACCTCTTCCATAAATATGGCCTTTGTGCCAGAGCTGGGAGGAATTCACCTTTCTCCAACTCCCATAGCACATTACCTGTTCCTCTCTTATGGAAAGCAGCCCACTCTATTCTTTAATTGTAGCATGCAGTCATTCAGTACATTTTGTCCAACGGGAAAGTTAGTTATTACCAACAGTTGCCAAGTTCTAAATATACTGATGTAATCTCAAACATACTTTTAAAATCATAAATACATAGTCATTTTTAGAATCTTTTAGGCTTTGAGCCATCATAGCAGATGTCTTAAAAATTATAGATCCCAAATTCTCCCATTAACTATTATGTGAGGAGTATGCCCAACCACACAATGAAGAAAAAACAGACAGAATTATATTCTCCTTTTTAAAACAATTGCCTTTTGTACTGTAAAATAAAATGCCTCTGGAAAGTATTATTGATCTTTTGGGGGCTAAAATTTCAAACAAGTACTGAGAGATGCTCTGGTTACACAGCATGCATACTGATCTGAATCATAAGATTTACACTAAAGGCATTAATTCTGAGTAGCTTACCGCAAACATGCCATGCCACAGCCCAGCATCCTTCTTAAAGTCTAAAACATTTACTACTGTTTCTCCTGAAATAGAAAAAAGGGGGGAGGGGAGAAGCAAGGAAGTCATCTTTAGTGTTAAGTAGCAAAATCATGTTACTTGCCTCTATTGAACCCCTGGTTTGGTATTTCTATAGAGATCACTAAAAGCTCTGAGTCTTTTGGTTACTGGAGGATCTCCTCAAATTGGCTGGGGGACTGATCCTAGAGTGACATGGCCATGGAAGAGACAATGAATTCCAAACTCCTTATGACTTAGATACTATCTTCTGAGAGAGAATCCTTTTTTCCTAATCATATAAGGAACTTTGAAAGTTTCACACACATATAAAAATTAGAATTCCTAGAGAGAGAAAATTTGGTACATATATATCTATATATTATATCTATATATACACACATATATTTCTAAGCAACCTACAGAATACACTTTTGTGTTCTGATTTGTGCTTTTTGGTAGCTGAATTTCTTTGACTCCAAATGTACTGCTGATAGCAACTCTATACACTTGGGAAGATGGAGATACCTGACATTCTGCAGCTAATAATAAACAGGTGGTTTTAATTAGTTTTCTATTTCTGTGCTCTAGAAATCATAGTTCACATACTTGGTTTGCCCAGAATTTTAGTTCCTTTAAATTGCAGCATATTTGTGAAAAAGAAGAAAGCCAAAGCAAGCCAAGAATGTGTCTTAAAACATTTCACTCTGAACTTGGTCATTAACTGGAATCCAATCACTGAGCACCCTGCTCCTAGTCACACCACATGTATCTGAAGCTCACAATGAGGGCAGTCATGGGATGAAGTCTGACCTTCAGAATAATTGCAGGCCTGGGACAGAGCTTGGCAGTGAGACAACATTGCAAGGCGGGACACCGTGACTCCCATTACACTCCCTTCTTTGCTTGTTTTATACTAGAAAACAAAAACACAAAGAAACAAAAACATGAGAAACACAATAAAATGGGTTATTTCAAATGACAGAACTGGAATCCTGAAACAAAAGGATAAAGCCAGGCTAACGGGCTGAATTTAACATGCTTCATGTGAACATTTGAGGCTGTGCCCTTGGGCCTCAAATTCTAATCACACAAAGATAGGATTGGAAATGGCAAAGCTCAAGAAAAGTATGTGTGAAAATCCTTAAAAGTTTAATTAGTCACAAGTGTGAAGTGGCTGTTAAAGAAGCTAAAACAAACAAGCGACTTGAGCTGCACCGAAGGAGCACAGCATCAAGTGCAGGGCAAGCACAGCCCTGCAGAGCTAAAGGTGCACAAGAAGCTGTTTGGGAGGGGAGACCTACAAACGGCCTGTTCACTCCTACAAATCAATTAACTGTAATTCTGCTTTTACCTCAATGCTCCAGCTATTTCCCCTCCGCATTTCTCCAGTCTCTTGCACCCGAGCCCCCCTCCCTCCCAGCAACAGAAAAATATCTCTGCCAGTTTCTTTGCCAGGAAATCATTTCTTAAAACTCTGTACTTCTCCAAGTCTTTTGTAACTTTCTTACATGGCAAGGATCAATTTCTTTGCTGTCTTTCTCTTGAATGTGTATTTACGTTAAAAATAATTAGAATAGAAAGCCACTATAAGACATTTTACAAGCCAAAAGATGGAAATCTAACAAAGTAGGGGGATCTCCTAATATTAAAACTGCAAAAAAGTTAGTTTAAGTTTGTAAGATAGCATCTGAAGCCAAAGAAAAAGCCAGAATGTAAGTTCCAATCTCAGGACTTACCTCGATGTACGCTGGCTCACTGCCAGCAGGTGAGATGTGGGGCTGCCAGTCTTTAGGAGGCTTTGAAAGGTACTTGGAATCTGTTACAACCCATTTGAGCCGGGGCCAACCTAAATCAAACCCCAAATAAAAATTGAATTGCCTAAGCCATACGGGAAGGAATTCACATTGAACTGGTCGTTTTAAACATCAAGAGACCAAATCAAGGTCATTTTATAATCAGTACAATACGTTTATTAGTTTTTAGTGACACATCAGTAGACATTTATACCTTCTTTCAAAAGTACAATTGTTCCACATGCTCATTCCAGGCCTTGACATTACCTCAACAACTGGGAGGTCCATTTGGCAGTGGAAGTCCACTGAGGTTAGTGGTCTATCCTCTGTCTCTACATGTAGCATTTAGCTTTAATGAACAGAGTGGTAGCTTTTTCCAACCATCAGCATAAAGGTTAAGGGTGTGGGCTGTGGAATCAGATTTGGGTTCAAATCGCTGCTCTGCCATTTATTAGCTGTGACTTTGGGCAAGTTACTTAACCTCTCTGTGTCTCAGTTTCCTCACCTGTAAAATGGGGATAATAATGGTACCTACTTCATAAGATTGTGAGAATAAGAAAATATATTTTAAGTACTTAGCTATTATTAAATTAAAACACTAAAGCACTCGGCTTTAACTTTTAACTGATAATTCAGATACAAATATTACTGACCTTTAAACTGTACAATCTCTCCATTCTGTGTTTTTGGCAGCCCTTTTAGACAAACTTCACTGGTAAGAGCTAAGGCAATACCACAGCTTCCTAGCAAGAAGCCAATCTGCTGCCCTCCAGCATCCTGTGGAGAAGAGATTGTGAGCACAGCAGAGGAGTGAACGTGAGCACACTCATACCCAAAGCCCAACACTTAGCAATGCTCTGGCACTTGTGTGATAACATTCATGGAACCCCACTGATATCTGGCAACTCAAAAATCTAGTGACAATATGTTCTTCCAAATAGTTTGAAACATACAATGATTTCCTGAAGGCAAATAAAATATCTTGTGAATCTGACATTGCTAATGAATTCTACCAGCCAAATGTGACCATTTTATTCAAAGGTCAACAATGCTCCTCTTTTAGATTAAAGTCAAGCAATTAAATAAATGCTAACACGGTTAAGTTGTCTTGATCTAGCCACATCTCCAAATCCAAAAGCAAAGCAAGTCAGGTTAGAACAAAATAAATAATGTAAATGAACATCAAACGTCCAAATTTACAATGAAAGTGAATGAATAGCTATACCCAAATATATATACTTAATATATTTTAAAAGAGGTAGATATAGTCTAAAGATTTTCATTAAAATGTTATCTTAAAAGTATCATTATGAAATCACACAAACACTGTCAACTTAGTATAAGAACAATCCTATGACTTCCTGAACAATCTAAATATACTATATCCCATCAACCAGAGTTTTAGAGATGTTACCAATTTGTTTTTATTCCTTTAAGAAAATAATCTTTTTCTTGTAAATCCACACTCTCCACCATATTTGTCTTTATCATCAACTCTCAATAATAAACATGAGAAAATTAAGGTTAAACAGCTCGTGGAAAAATCATTTTGTTAAACTTGGAAATTTGCCACATATGCTTCATTTTAGTTGGGTTGATTTGTTATTAATGTAAAATCCTGTGCCATAGAGTAGCAACATGCCATCACTGCACCACCCTTCAACTTCATGGAAATCCTAGGTCATATGATACAATTAAACCAAATCCTTTTACAAAAGGTCTTACCTATTGTAACTGAGGATAAATGTGGATTATAGTCTCTGAAGCAAGGGTGGTAATTGTTGACAAGTCAAGTATGTCCCCATGATTTTTAAGTGATATACAAGACCATATAATACTACAAATACTCTATCTTGGTTAAAAACATGTTATTTGCATGAAAGTTACAAATATTAATAATTTTTATATAACTTTCATGTTTTTAAAAAGTGAAACTTAGTACTTAAGAAAGCAGATGTTTCTAATGTCATGACCAAGTCAATGGATCCAAGAACCCAATGACTGCCATGTCACACAGACTACTAGTACATTCTTTTTAAATTTAGCAGTTACCTTTCTGGTAAGAGGTACCTCTATAGGCACTGGAATTACTTCCGCCAGGAGACATCCATAAAAAGCCACCATAAACATGACTGGATCATTGTTGGGGTAAACCAGGGCTACCTAAAATGCATAATGACATTCAATAACAGAGGAATAAAAAAAGACTAAGGCTTTCAATGTCACTCTATAAGATATATTTAAATATAAAACATCTATCATGCACACAACAAATAAAACTAATTAATAGCCTAAGGAAATTAAGTTATTGAGAAGGATGCACAAATCTAAAAAGACCTCTGTCATTCCTATGATTATACTAGACACATTTTGGGAACTATATTGCAATTCATCACCATCCTAAGATTTTTCACTTAATTCTATTGGTGATTTAGCAGTAAACAACTCACCTTAAGTAGTAAGTTAATTACTTGTGAAACCTAAGCCAATTTACTTTAGTGCAAAGCTAAAGCAATAAAATAAACGTAACAATTTAGAGACCAGCATATTAAAGAATAAGCCTTACATCTCTCACTGAGAGCTATAAGCATCGAGGCTCTTACTCTTTGACAAATTCATTGCATTAATTCTTACTCACTGAGCCAACAATGCAAGTATTCTAGCATGAAAGGCATTTGGTAATAGGTATAAGCAATACTGGCAGAAACTATTATGGATATAAAGTTCATTCATTTACAAAAGATAAACAGTAAAACTTCTGTAATGTGTTCCAACCTGTGATCTCACCTGTAATATATCACAGGGATAACCAACTCTTCCTAATACTCAAGAAATGAAAAAACACAGACGTCACTATCATTTTGGAGTTTTGTTACTTGGCTCAAATATTTATAAATTAACATTTGAAACTTAATTATGTCACTGGACTCTTGTTTTTCCTTCTTTTGCTTTCAAATTATCTAAACTCACTCTCAAGGTAAGTTCAATTCTTTCTTTCCTTTTTGTTTAATTAAAAAATTTTAATAAATTTCAATTCAAACCTTCAAGAGTTCTTTTTTTAAAATATATTTTTATTGATTTTTTATAGAGAGGAAGGGAGAGGGATAGAGAGTTAGAAACATCAATGAGAGAGAAACATCGATCAGCTGCCTCCTGCACACCCTCCACTAGGAATATGCCGGCAACCAAGGTACATGCCCCTGACCGGAATCGAACCTGGGACCCTTCAGTCCGCAGGCCAACGCTCTATCCACTGAGCCAAACCGGTTAGGGCAAGAGTACTAAAAAAATACAAACTCCACAAGACCTGTAAGTAATGCATTTTCTTCCTGCACACAAATGCCTAGGCCAGTGGTCGTCAAACCATGGCTCGCGAGCCACATGCGGCCCTTTGGCGCCTTGAGGGTGGCTCTTCCACAAAATACCACGTGCAGGCGTGCACGTACAGTGCGATTGAAACTTCGTGGCCCATGTGCAGAAGTTGGTTTTCGGCCTGGGCGAGTCTATTTTGAAGAAATGGCGTTAGAAGAAGTGGGGGGTGTCGGTCGGTCGGGCGAAGGGAGACCCGGCGCAGGCGGGCCAGGGGGATACGCAGCGCCCGATTCATGCACGAGCTGAGGATGGGAAAGTTGGAAGGGGTTGACATCAGCAAACGTACCTCAATCAGATTGAGGACGTTTTTAGCAAAGGCCTGCTTAGGAGTACCCTAATTAAGTTAGTAACAATGTACCTACCTATATAGTTTAAGTTTAAAAAATTTGGCTCTCAAAAGAAATTTCAATCGTTGTACTGTTGATATTTGGCTCTGTTGACTAATGAGTTTGCCGACCACTGGCCTAGGCTGTCAGGAGAGACAGAAGTACCTTCTTAGGGTTCAGTGAGGACTAGGAAACACTCATATGACATATTTGTAAGTAGAAGCCATCCTTTAGGTGTTCTTTACCACAATGCAAAAATATTTTCAAAGGCTAGTTTAGGAGATTCTATAATCATGAGTCTCCTAAAAGCAAGTCTGTTGTATAGCTAGTGTTTCATTCTACAAATTCCAACTGAAAAGTAATGTTTGGTTTTAAAAAGTAATCATATTTACAAATTTATTAATAGGAAACAACCTTCAAAAATTAAAAAAGATTAATGTCACCTCCGATTAAAGAAGAAATTAAATGATGCCAATTTGCTTCTTCTTAGAAGTAGCAATGAGTTTCCCTTCCTTTCTACATAAGACCACAGAAAATTGCTTTAAAAATTTTATGGGACTTTTTTTTATAATCCTCACCCAAGGATATGTTTGTTTGTTTTTTATTGATTTTTAGAGAGTGCGGAAGGGGGAAATAGAAACATTGATGAGAAACATCGATTGGTTACCTCCCATATGTGCCCCAACCCAGGACTGAACTGTAACCTAGATATGTACCCTGACTGGGAACAGAACCCACAACCTCTTTTTTTGTGTGTGTGTGGATGGGTTGATGCTCCAACCAACTGACCCACCCGGTCAGGGCGATGGGACATTTTTGAAAGGAAAAAAAAAAAAATCAAAGTAAACTTTATTGCTATCTTTGTTATCTGAACACTGAAATATTTACTTCCAGAAAGACTCAGGTGTCCCAACTTTTATTAGCTCCTGAAGAGTTTGCTGATTATGCAGCTACAGAAAGGGACATGTAAATTTCCTTCAATTGATGAAGGTATATTGCCTGGCATTGGGCCAACCTGGGTTGGCAACAAACCATTTTCATTTCCTAAGAATAAAAGTTATATAAATTATGCTGTTGTATATTAAAAATCCTGAATGCATATGTTCGAAAGCAATAAAACACCACCTCCCTAAAACCAAAAAGCAAATTGAAATTACCCTGTCTGCAGGTTTTAATACAGGTTCATTTTTGGTCCCCAGTTTATTAAGCAGTGTATAGGCCAACTTTAAACTTCTGCTCCACAACTTTCCTGGAAAAAGAAAAGAAAACAGTCATAGAGAAAACCACAGTACACCCCTGCCACCACCCCTACCCCTAGCACGCCCACGCCTTTCTTCCCTCTCAGAGAAACATCCCCTAAACTCTCAGGGTCTCACGAGACTTGAAACCAGGGGAGCAATAGGTGGTGGCAGCTCATCCCGGGCTAACCGCCCGAACCTCTCTCCGACTTTCCAGTGAGCCGACAGTAGCCCCACCCTTGGTTCTCTTCTGTCAAGCTCTCTCCTGTCAATGTGACTCTTACTTGTCAGTGAGTCCACACAGCCCCACATGGCTCACTTTCCTATAACAGTTCTAGAAAGCCAAAGCAGCCCCATTTGCTCTCTCCAGGTGCTTCTTCTACCCTAAGCACTTCCTTGTTTCACTGTCCCCAGCTTTAATAAACATTCTCTCTCTCTCTCTCAAAAAAAAAAAAAAAAAAAAGAGAGACAGAGAGAGAAAAAACCACAGGCCTACCTCATCCAGAGGGCATTCAGTTCCCAAGCACATATAATAAGACAATGGCCCCTTCCAAACGACACACCAGACAAGCATGGCCTCCAACAGAGAGCTCCTCCCCACAACAAACGTTTTATTATTTACACTAGTTTATGGAAAGCCAGTCCTGCCTCCAAACAGCAACAACAAAATACAGCACTGGAAGCTCATTCAGGTTTAGATCATTTTTGAAATTATTATTTTTTTTAATATGTTTGTATTGATTTCAGAGAGAGGAAGGGAGAAGGAGAGAGAAATAGAAACATCATTGATGAGAGAGAATCATTGATCAGCTGCCTCCTCACAACCCCTACTGGGGATCTAGCCTGAAACTTGGGCATGGTCTCTGACTAGAAATCGAACTGTGACCTCCTGGCTCATGGGTCGATACTCAATTTTTCTGAAGTAATCTGAGTATCTTTAAAAACAGTCTGATGTGAGCTGATCACACTTCAAGGCAAGGAAATAACTGCTTATCACAAGACTGAAAATCAGAAGACTACACCATTCTAAGCTTTTTCTGAAGAACCATTTACAAACATGGCATTAGATTCGAAGTAACTGCAAAGCAAAAATGTGACTCATAATTTAGCATTTCATATTACTGTATTTCAGTGAAAACAGATAGTAAAATGAAAATAACTATGTGAAACATCGATACACTCAAAGATATGAAATGAACATGAAGAGATTTAGCCAGCTAACTGCTTTCTTTAAGGGTTATATGGATGAAATTAATATACAGCTTCTGAAATGAATGCTAAAATCTGTCTGGGGGTGGAAAACCTATTCTCCCTTCTTCATGCTTCCTTCCTTCAACCATCCTTAGAAATTCTTACTTATATTATGGAACAAGTAAAAGACAAATCGTATTATTTCAATAGATATGTTAGTTTTACTTTACATCCAACACATTCAGAGGGGCATCTAAGGTTTAAATGCATATCAATTTCCACAATTCTTTAAATAATAACAAATTTAGGGCTATGGACAATGTGCTCCAATTGTGAAGGGAAAAAGGAATCTGTCTGAATAAACTAGTACAAAATCTCACAGTCCAGGTTAAATCTACTCTTCTTGTTATTTTTTCCCCACTCTTCTTGTTATTAAAAAAAGTTCTTTTTTAGGAATTTATAAAAGAAAAATAATTTACTTTAAGAAGTTATTTATAAAAGAAATAGAAAACTTTAGCTAGGATGCAAAACTAAATTGAAAAGTACTGCTTCTTTGTTTATTATAGATTTCTGTGCCTAATATAAGCAAGAGGCAGGATGAAGTAAAGGACAAAGATCTAAAGAGTAATCAATTTCAATTTTTGGATAAAACTATATGGTTTTTACCATACACCATTAATCCTGCCCAAATGTCTTCCTAAAATCCTCTCTTAATGTTAGAAAACATCAGTGGGTGCACAAAGTCTCTTCTTTTTTGCTCTACTATTTATTTATTTATTTATTTATTATTTATTTATTTATTTATTTTTTAAACAGTGCTACCCTTCTTTTTTTAAATATATTTTTATTTATTTCAGAGAGGAAGGGAAATGGAGAGAGAGATAGAAACATCAATGATGAGAGAGAATCATTGATTGGCTGCCTCCTGCATTGAGGGATTGAGCCCGCAACCCAGGTTTGGGCCCTTGACCGGAATCGAACCTGGGACCCTTCAGTCCTTAGGCCGATACTCTATCCACAGAGCAAAAACCAGCTAGGGCTCTTTTAAAAATAAGCTGCCTTGAAAATGTCAGGTTAGCAAATTAAAATATTTGGTAATAGCTGTACTTAGAACTTAGGATCCTATGAAAATAAAAGATCTACTGAAACACAATGACCAGCAACTGCGAAATACCAAGATAAAAACCCCAGCCATGATAATCTGGAGAATTATTAGGAGAAAAGGAAGGAGCTGGAACCTTTGAAAACTCACCGTACGTGAGAGTGTAAACTGGCTTCCCTGTCACATCCAGTGCAGTCAGACAGGGGCACTTGGCTTGAGTGGTGCCCCAGCGCTGCAGAGCAGATTCCAGAGCAGGAGGCCAGTTACAGATGACTCCTAGGGGCTCCCCCTTCACAGGGGTCATCTGCCGTCCCTCCGGCTTGGGCTGGTTAGGGTCTGGCTGAGGTACTGAAACAACAGAAATGAGATCTGATGTAAGTGCAAATACCAACCAACACAACTTAGGTCAGTAATCCCAAATACATTTCCCTTTTCCTTTCATCTTTCTCTACTTTGAACTCACTCTGAGAAAAGAAAGGACATTGTTAGAAGTGGTAATCCATAAACTGGGCCTTAATTCACTTTCCCACATAACTGTAAAATCATATTTAATTTAATTTAATTTTATGCAACAAGCAAATCCTGAGCCTGACAAAGCAAATCACTGAACACATAGAAAAGCATAAAGAATAAATTTCCTTTTAGTAATTTCATAATTTTTAGTAAACTTGTTTTTAAATCTTTCATTTGTGTCCAATGTCAGAGCCAAGTTCCATTTTACCAGGTAACATTCAATGAAAAGGGACTGAATGGTGAGTCAGGAAAACCAAGCTGACATTCACTTTTACTGGTGTGACCTTAGGCAAACCGAGTTACCTGAGTCTTGTTTTTCCTCATCTGTAAAATGGGGACAGTAACAATTATACCACAGGGTCAGTATCAGACTCAAACCAATAATGGGCATGCATGCTTCTTCCATGGCCAATCCCTTTGCCTCATGGTGAATTCGTACTCATCCCTCTTAAGATGCAGCTAAACTAGTGCATTCCCTGGGAAACCATCTTCCGCCATTTCTTCCTCAGTGCTCCCACACCATGTGGTAGCACACCCTTACTAAAGCACTGAGGCTCCTCAAGGGCTTCTGATACTGTACACGTTTTTTCTTATTTCTCATAGTGCCTAATACAAAATGCTCAATCAATTTTAATTAACTTGAACTGAATTTGGGGGAAATAGAAAAGCTCTAGATCAGCGGTTCTCAACCTATGGGTCGCGACCCCTTTGGCGGTCAAACGACCCTTTCACAGGGGTCGCCTAAGACCATCCTGTATATCAGATATTTACATTACGATTCATAACAGTAGCAACATTACAGTTATGAAGTAGCAACGAAAATAATTTTATGGTTGGGTCACAACATGAGAAACTGTATTTAAAGGGCCAGAAGGTTAAGAACCACTGCTCTAGATTATTAACATAATCATTCCAGAAACTGGCAGTGAAATATATTTCATATTCTTTCATATAAATAAAACTAAAGTCTTCAATTTTTCTGCAATAAACAAGTATTATTCAAATAATAAAAAGCAAAAAAAATCCTATATATTCACAACAGGAAAGATAATTTATACATGGAATAAAAAATTAAGTATTTACTGAGTACCAATTATATAAACAGGATGTGATAAACAGTGAGAAAGTAAATACTGCATCTGTTATTCTTTGACAAACATTTATTTTTCCTAATGCTATGTGCAAGGAATACAGAGTCTATGCCCTCCAGGAGTATCTAGAATACAATGCGGACACACACACACACACACACACACAGAGCTAAGTCAACATGAGCAGTGTATGACAGGTATGTACAGAGAAGGTAGGCGGGAGAGGGCCACATTGCCCAGCTTAGGGGGTGCGATCCCTCACCTGTAGGAGGTAATGCCTGGGCTGAGTCTTAAAGGAAGGTTAGGAGTTAGCCAGGTGAATGGGAGGTAAGAGAAGACGCACAGAAGGGACAATGAACAGAATGAGCAACAGGTATTAGATGGGCAATTGGAATATGAAATAAATTATATTTTATAGCTCAATTTAATGACAGATTTGAGAAGCTCACTAAAATATCTTGAGTAGTTTCACTTCCCAAATCACTGTCCTTCTACTCTGTATATTTCCAGACCCTAAACCATCAGATTAAGTAAAAAGAAGAATGTGGATGAAGCTAAGTAAATGGTTTTGGTTTTGCAAACCGACTACATATGGCAGGCACAGTCTTCTGGTGATAAAAGTCTGTACATTGTTGCCGTCCACTAGGCCTCAATGCAGACCTCAGGGCACACTCTTTCAGACTTCCAAAGACATAGGGGTATCTCTTTTCCAAAGGTATTCTTTTTTTTTTTTTTAATTTTATTGCTTTTTTTTTTTTTTTACAGAGGAAGGAAGAGGGATAGAGAGTTAGAAACATCGATGAGAGAGAAACATCGATCAGCTGCCTCCTGCACACCCCCCACCGGGGATGTGCCCGCAATCAAGGTATATGCCCTTGACCGGAATCGAACCTGGGACCCTTCAGTCCGCAGGCCGACGCTCTATCCACTGAGCCAAACTGGTCAGGGCTCCAAAGGTATTCTTATTCAAATAAACAACTGTTGCCTATTTATAACTAGTGACAAGCTGTTGGTTCTATTCTGACAATGAAAATTGTTTCAGTATGATTTCTATTTAAACCGTGACCTTCATTTGCCTGGTCAATACACAGTGCTAAAATGACTGGTGAGGTTATTATTGGCATGAGCACCTTGGACATCAGTGCATTGAGAAAGATCCCCTTAGCTCAATGAGTTCACTGACCCTTACAGAAACAAAAGTTCATCTTAACCTCATGTGTCAGGTTGCTTGTTGCTTCCTGCTGCATAAAATGGGTTAAGACCAGATCTAGGCTACTTATGTGCCGATTTCCAGTAACAGGTCTGATGTGATCAAAGCCTACTATTAGTCTCAGGATGTAGAAATGGAGTACAAAGCTACCAGGACTTAGTTCTTTTGACAAAAGCTTTTGTTAGGTAGATCTATCTGTCACCTAGCTTCAGTAATTATTAAATGGTCACTCTCGGTTCATCTATGCCCCCAAGGTGTTCCCCTCCCAATCCTTCCTACACATCATATGATTTCATCCACAAATTTTTTAAATTACTGAATGAATAAATCACTATCACCATTTCCTCTATGAAGCTTCCCCTAACCACATGGATGCAACTGATTTCTTTCCTTCTCCAACTACCTGTATTAGTTGATACATATTTAATGGCTAAACTTAGTTCTCACATGTATATATTTCCAACAGGTCTAAATTGTAAACAACATAATGAAAGAAGGAAGTTGACTGTATTTGGATTACCTTTTTCACCATCTACCACATTATCTTTTTTTTTGTATAATATATTTTTTATTGATTTTAAAGAAAGGAAGGGAGAGGGAGAGAGAGAAACAACGATGAGAGAGAATCATTGGTCAGCTGCCTCCTGCACGCCCTCTACTGAGAATCAAGTCTGCAACCCGGTCATGTGCCCTAACCAGGAATTGAACCATCACCTCCTGGTTCACGGGTTGATGCTCAACCACTGAGCAACACCAGCTGGCCTACCATGTTCTTTTTTTATTTTTTATATTTTTTTCCTTTATTGATTAAGGTATTACATATGTGTCCTTATCCCTCCTCCCCACCTCCTACCCATGCCCTCACCACCCTGGTGTCTGTGTCCATTGGTTAGGCTTATATGCATGCCCACGTTATCTTAAAGAAAGCAGACATATATATGTGTTGACTGGCTGATTTAACAAAAAGGTCTGTTGTATCAAAAAGACTGGGCAAACTTTTGAGTTTGACATTAGTATTCTAGGATAATGCCAAATATAAATAATTTTTCAAATAATGTATTTGGGAAAGTTCCAAATTTCAAAGAGCATATTTTCAAGGATAGTTCAATGCTCCATAGTTATCTCTTTGCTTTTCTCTCCCCGCCCTCCCTTCCTATTTTTCATCTGAGATCTAAAATATAAATGATCCTTAGGGGAAAAGAGCAGAAAACTATGAACTCGTTCAACCCAAAATGATGCCTTGCTCATCCTTAAATCCTATAATACCTGACATGTAGTAATTGCTTAAGAAATGTTTGTTTATGGTACTATTACTACTACCTTCCACAATTTCTTCAGAGTCATCCACAAAAAATTCTTTTAAGGGAGGCCTTTTGGGTCGTTTCAGAGTGTTGAGAAGCTGTTGGATTTTTGTGGATACTCTGCTACTGACAGGAACACCTATAAGGGAAAAAGCGGTAAGTTAAAATTAATTGATTTCAGGGATATTATAGTTCATCAATTCGCTCAGGAGTTTTTATTTCTAATGATTTTTGGCCCTTTCCCACAGTCTCATCCTATTTCAACTGGGACAAATAAATACAAATATGTCCATGACAAGTTTTGACAACAGAGAATAAATATGGTGCTATTATTAATATATTGCTTAAAGATTTCACCTACTCTCCCTTTTCTCTTATAGCATTCTTTTCTTTTTACATATTCAGGTTTTTGTTCAAAGTATCTTTTGAGAGTACAGACTAAGTCTGAACAAGTGTCAGTGTGGCCACAGTGCAGGCTGCTGAAAAGAGTGTGCTCAGGATGACTTGTGTTACTGCATTTCTACTCCATAAAAACTCCCTACCATCAGCTGTATCCATAAGGCTGGACCTGTTGGATCCTTTGTGCATGCCTTTAACTATCCCGGAGGGGGGCAGATCAATATTTGCTGGGCGTATTGAGGATGATGATGATGAAGAGGTAGTTGTAGTGACGTCAGGGGGAGCAGAAAAATTCTCTAAGAGGGGAGAAAACAAAATTTAGAATTATATTACATTCGCAGTAAAATAAAGAATTTTTAAATCTTTTTGTTTGTTTGTTTGTTTTGCTTTGTTTTTAGCAAGGAAGAAAACTATGGGAATGAGCTCTTGCAAAACAACCTTTGAAATCAAATTCTACCAGCAAGATACAATGAGAGCGCAACAGGTTAAGCCAGGGCTTATGAGCTTTCCAAAATTATTCAAAAAAACTCGAGTAGTCTTAGTAAGATCAAATCCTCTAACAAACGTTTCTCAAAAACACGCTTTTCTATGTAGAAAGACTAGTAGGGAACCAATATTACATAAAAATCATCCTAAATAAAATAAAAATTATAAATGACTTCAAAATGAAACCAAGTGAGTATGATTATATAGCTACTAATATTCTAGTCTGTTGAGCATTTCTTCATGTTTATGTTGGTTTATCTGTAATATTTCTTCTTCCATTGAAGACAGAAATAGTATCTTGAGAATGGGTCAGAACACTCGAGTTTCCAGATGAAGAAAAACAGATAGGTCTACTTTTAATTTTTATTAATCGACCCATAGGTAACTTGGATCTACTAGATACAGACCAGGTTCTTCCCTTGCTGTACGCATGGTTAGTGTTACTGTACTCTGCTTCATGTATGGATTCTTAATATAAAGGAACTGAATGACATAAATTGGAAGAGAGCCATTCAACAGGGATGTGTTACAAAAAAGTAGAAGAAGAAAACATCTGGAGAAGTAAAAAAATGAAATTAGAAGAAGTAAAATATACAATTCACAAGACTAATAAAAAGCCACTCAAAACTATAAACGGAAAAAATAATAATATAAATAATTTCTAAAATCAATTCGAAAGTAAGGTCTCTATGTCCCAAACGTCTGTAATTACTAGTTCAATAGTTTTTAAAGTTTTAAATATAGTACTAACTATAAATAAATAAATAAATAAATAAATAATAAATATAGTACTAGCACAAGTATATTGCAGTAAATCTCTTCTGTAGGATAGTGTGGTAACAAGTGTTAAAAACCTGCATTTTTATTATAGAAATACATCCTAAATACATAATCAGACAACTGTACAAAGTTTTGTGTTCATGAATGTTCACCCCAATACTTTTTATATTAGCAAAAAAATGTATAATACTTAAATGTCCAAGATTGGGTAATAGCTAAATAAACCAGGACATGGCCATACAGTGGCATATTTTGAAACCATAAAAAATAATAGTATAATTCTATATTAATGATATAATAGATGTTTGTGATAAGAAAAGCTGATTATGAATGTTGTTTAGTGCAATTTCATTTTAGTAAAAATAAAACCTACATATTTATATGCAAATAAAGTCTAGAAGGATATATGATAAAGTAATAACATTAAAGTGTTATCCATGGAAAGTAGGTTTCTAAATTATTTTATTTTTCTTTTATCAGTATTTTCACATTTTTCTATCAGAAACATTGATTACTTCTTTTAAAGCAAACATGCAACAGGTAATAATGTTAAATAAAAGTGTTCTCTTTTAGACCCATGTGAAAATAAAGCCTGACCCAACAGGACTGCTGCTGCCTCTTCCAAATAGAGGAGGCGGTGAGCACGCTCACCTGTAGCTGCTTTGGGAGGTCCCGTGAGTTACAGGGCAGGGTTAAGAGTGCAGGACAAATCAGTGCTATTGGCACTTGGCTATTGTCATTAAAAATTATTGGCTCGAATTAAAATTTTTCCAAGTTTTTCTTTTTAATTAATAAAATAATACAGGTGCAATCTCCCTCCTGGGAGAATACCCACACCTTTCTGCTCCCCTTTACTTTTCTCTCTCTTAAGTTCCGAGGACCCTTTTCTTTTGCCCCTGTAACTTTCTAAATAAGTTTCCTCTTATACATTGAAAAAATAAAAAAACAATATATATAAGGTGATAAAAAGGTCACTGATAAGAAAATTAAGACACTGATTGTCTAGAAAAAAGAGAAAAGTATAACAGACACATGATATGATGTTCATATACATCACTTAGTGTGTGTACCAACCAATTAAGCAAAAGCAGGGAACTGAGCTGTATCTTTGTTTGCAGATGTCACAAACTCTTTAGAAACACACACAAGAACATAAAGCAGAGCCAAGCAAAAGCTACAGACACACCATACAGGTGCATAGGCAACAAGGAGCAGCTCACAGAGTCCCATCCTCGGGCTGCACACTCCAGTTGTAGCAATAACACAGCAGCAAGGACCATAAATCCAGTCTTTACGCTAAAGACAAAGGGCCTGACTGAAACTCAGGTTTAACGTTTTTTGTTTGAGAGAACATAGATAATAATATCCTGGGGAAAATCTAAGATGTTAATATTTTAACACCTCTGATCAAATGGAATATTCTTCAACAGGGATAAACCCTTGCTAAGACTGGTGTTATATCTTGCAGCTTGAGTATTGCTTATGGAAATAGCTATGGCTTCAGGTGGGCAATACTATGCACAAAAATGCAGACAAATGTATTGCTGGTGTTTCCTTCTTTGCTTCATTAACTGCCATGTTCTTTCTGATTCTACTTTTTAGGCCACTCTGAAAAACCTCATACAGATCATAAACTCTTTTCTGAATACTGGGAGCCAAATGGGACATAATTTGGGCTTCTTGGGTAGACCCAGCTCCTACCTATTCGAGTATTGGCAAATACATCAGCTAGAGACCCACTGGTTCCTTTGACCTCTCCATGGGACAGCGTAGAAGATGCGGATGAAGAAGTGGACGATCCCTGAATTGAGCGGTTGATCCAGGACTCCGCATTCTGTAAGCTCTGTTGTAAGGCAGCAGAGAGCGCAGCTTGGCGTCTCAGAGAGCCCTCATCCTCGGAGGCCGAAGACGTGTCTGTGTGGAATTAGAAAAAAAGTTGTTCTCGATCCTGCCTAGAACAGAGACCTTTCACTTTTTGTTCATTGATCATACATTCAATTTTGACACCAGCAAAACATTCGCATTCTTAAGGTAAACTAATATGGCAAGCTTCTCCAGAATCACAAGGAAAGGTCTACGGACCAAAGCCTGCAAAAATAAAAGTCTAAATCTATAGGTAACTTTAAGTTATTTTCTAAAAACCCATTTAGAACATTTAAACTTCACTATTTTTCTGATCTGAGTTTAATCAATATCTATGTTCTTTGGCTTATCTTACTTATGTTCAAATAATTCTGAAGTGCTCAATCTCTTAATTATAGAGCCCTATGATCAGATGCTACACTGATTTCAACAAGTACTTTTTTTTAAAATGAATGTTTACTGAGTTATGTTCATTTCAGTGGGTTATATGTTTTATTTTTATTATTTTTTTAAATACATATTTTATTGACTTTTTACAAAGAGGAAGGGTAAGGGATAGAGTTAGAAACATCGATGAGAGAGAAACATTGATCAGCTGCCTCCTGCACACCTCCTACTGGGGATGTGCCCGCAACCAAGGTACATGCCCTTGACCAGAACTGAACCTGGTACCTTTCAGTCCACAGGCCGATGCTCTATCCACTGAGCCAAACCGGTTAGGGCTCAACAAGTACTTATTAATTAATGTTTACTTAAAAGGAAATAATCTTGATAGGGAGATATAAAAACTTATTTTAATTAACAACAACTTAAGTGTCAGTGAGAGGCTGGGGAACTGATGTGGAATAAGAAACAATGCTTAGCCTGAAGGCATTCATGGTTTCAGCAGAAAAAGACAGCTGGTCACTTGGCACAGGTAAGCTTTCCAAACATGACAGGAGAGGGCATTAATCTGTATTTCTCTCCTTAATTCTCAGAGAAGAACTGTGAGAAATTCACTGATGTCTGTATTTAGCCTGGCCCTGACTTCAGAAAAATAAGGCCTAAATTAGAAAAGCATATTGAAAAGAAAAAAAAAATTAACCAAATATAGGATAGCCAAGGGCAGCAGAAGTCAGGGATTTGTTCCAGGGCTCCAAGCTGACGAGGCACACAAATTGAGGGGCATTTGGTCTGATGTGAGACAAACCCTTTAAATGATTTTAGAGGTTATAATTTATGGCCTGTGGATTGAATTTCATTCATTTTTTAAAAAATTAAATGTTATGTGATTAGTCCTGTTGAATTCTTTCCTATAAATCAGGTGAAACTGTAGGTCCATGTTCTATTTTGGCTCAAAGAACTAAAGAGATAACACTGCAAGTACCGACAATGGAAATATGAACCACAAAAGGCTAATTTAATCTAGAAGTCAAATTCTGCAACTCCAGAGCAAGAGAGAAAGTTTATCCTTGCTTTCTGCTCTGGACTACCTCCAAATTATTACCTCATATTGAAGGAGATATGAGGCCCAAGACTGTTTTGTTTTGTGGTGTGTGTTTTTTTTTCATAATCACTATACATGCCAGGAACTATATCAGGTTCCGGGGATCCTGAGATGTACGAGTTCTTATGAGACAGGAAGGGCCCTAAAAAAGGCTTACAGTCTAGCACAGGAGAGACACACAACCCCAGACTGTTCCACAGGAATACAACGGATGCTAAGAAATAGGGTAAACAAAGGGTTTCACTCCAGGGGCACCAATCCAGTTGGGATTTCAAGGACTTCTATGTAAATGGAGCAAAGACTTTGAGGAGATAAGGGGCACCAGGTGAGGCTGGAGAGGTAGACAGTGACCAGACCTCAAAGGGATAAACAACGAGGTTCTTTAAAGGGCAAAGAGATCTATAATGCAAAAGGAGGATTAAAGGAAAATATAAAGAAACGTAATAGCATCTGTCAATAGCATTTTGCATAACTTCCAGAAATTATTCTAACATTTCAGCTGTACCTTGGGAGACAGATTTCTATCTTTGCAAATATGCTAAAGAAAAGGGGGTTGGGGGCTGGGACAGGTGAACCTGACCCTTAGAATAAAGTATTTTTAGGGTATAGATAATATATCTCTGGATCCCATAAACTTCACTAGATACTGAGGCTATCTTCATTAAATCATTTATTTTAATCTGTGTAAGTCTAAAATTAGAATAACCCAATTTTCAAAAGCTAGTAAAGGCAGTATTTTCATGATTAAGTTTATGGAAAACTGGCTTATGTTTCTATATTGAATCAATTATGTAATTAGGTATATTGTTTCAATTCAATTTCCTCATTGGCCTGCAGTCCTCCTCAGAGTGTTTAGTGACCACGACTGTGGGCGGCTTGGCATAGTTTAGTGGGGAAAACATGGCTCTGGTGTCGGTCTTCCATGGGATCTCTGGGGTCCACCCCTTACTAGCTTTGTGACATGTGGGTAAAATTACCCATGTGAGAAGCCTGGCCGTTCAGCCATTCAATAAATACTACTAAGCACTTCACTAGTTTGATCGATATAAAAAGATGAGCAATTAGTTATGAGAAGCATAAGGTTGGGGAGAAAGAAGTGCCGGGTAGAGGGAAAGCTGGGAAGGGACAGAAAACAATCTTTGAAGATCTGAAAGAAATGAGACCTGCTGAAGCACAGGATGCAAAATCGGTAGTGAAGAAAGATGAGGGTGGACAAGTGAACAGCACTGGGTTGCTAAGGGCAGTGTAAGATGTGCTAAGAAAACTGGCTTTTATGCGAACTGCAGTGGTAGGCCAATGAAATGAGTCCACACCCAGAAAGCAGCCCCAGCAGTGACAGCACAATAGCAGGTGGAAAATAAGCATTAGGTCTCCTTTTCCTCCCAGAATAACCCACCCTATGTTACCTCACACAAAATGTAAGCACTTCTCTGAGACTGTATCTTTTTAAAAATAAAAACGAGCTCCCTTAAATATTTATGTTTCCCTGGATGGTGTTGCTCAGTTGGTTGAGCATCATCCTTGCACCAAAAGCTTGTTGGTTTGATTCCTGGTCAGGGCACATGCTCAGGGTTTGGGGCTTAATCCCCAGTAGGGGGCATGCAGGAGGCAGCTGATTGATGTTTCTCTCTCCCTCTCCCTCACCCTCCCACTCTCTCTAAAAGCCAATTAAAATATATTTATACTAGAGGCCTGGTGCATGAAATTCATGCACTTTGGGGGGGGAGAGGCCCTCAGCCCGGCCTGCACCCTCTCGCTGTCCGAGAGCCCTTGGGGAATGTCCGACTGATGGCTTAGGGAGCGGGCCTAAGCTGGCAGTCAGACATCCTTAGCACTGCCGCGGAGGCGGGAGAGGCTGCGCTCGCCAGCCATGAACCCGGTTTCTAGCTGAGCAGCACTCCCACTGTGGGAGCACACTGACCACCAGGGGGCAGCTCCTACATTGAGCATCTGCCCCTTGGTGGTCTGTGTGTGTCACAGCGACCGGTCGTTCCACTGTTCAGTCGATCAACAATCCTGTCACCCAGAAAATTGCAATGAATTAATAGAAATTCAGGGAAGATTAAATGAATGTTAATAGAAATAAAGCTATCATTTCCCCATTGATTCTGCTCTGGTTGAACATGAACTCATAAATGTTTATCTGTTATAACTAAAGTCCCTTACCTAAGCTCTTGTATATGATGAGTACATCTACACAACACAAGACAACTTTGAAAACATAGTTTGCCCTTCAGTTTATAACTGATATGATTTTAACACAGCATCATTTTTAAAAATATATATATTTTAGTGATTTTTTACAGAGAGGAAGGGAGAGGGATATAGAGTTAGAAACATCGATGAGAGAGAAACATCGATCAGCTGCCTCCTGCACACTCCCCACTGGGGATGAGCCCGCAACCCAGGTACATGCACTTGACTGGAATCGAACCTGAGACCCTTCAGTCCGCAAACCGACGCTCTATCCACTGAGCCAAACTGGTTAGGGCTTAACACAGCATCATTTAATACTGATCACCAGAAGTCTAACCTCCATTTATAACCAATTAGGAAACTAACATTCTAAGGAAAGAAAAGCCAATGGGTTTACTAACTGTTCTTAACTACTGTAGCACTTTCAGTCTTTAGCCATGTGTGGAAATGACTTCCCTATATTTATTATATCTAAAAGTGTTTATTAATTAATAAATTTAATTTATAAATTGAATTTAAACACCCACCATATCCACTCCATCCTGAGAGATGAAAGCAAACCTATACAAGGACTTGTACATAGATATTCATAGGAATTTTATTTGTAACTAGAGGCCCGGTGCACAAAAATTTGTGCACTGGGGGGGGCGTCCCTCAGCCGGGCCTATACCCTCTTGCAGTCTGGGACCCCTCGGAGGATGTCCACCTGCTGGCTTAGGCCCGTTCCCTACTTACTGCCTATTTGAAAGTTAGATCAAAACATGCAATTGTTAGAGCTCCAAAATTACCAGAATATTTACTGACAATATGGTAGAAGGAGAGGCAATATGCCAAGTGGTTTAGAATGGGCTTTAGAAGTCTGACTGATCTGGACTTCAGTCTCAGCTCTGCCACTAAGAGCTGTTCTTAGGGGTCTTTTTTTTTTGTCCCAGACCTGCTGGAGTAGAAGGAGCCTCACATCTGGGCTCAGGGGAAGTGGAGGTGGAGGCCATGGGCTTTTAGAACTCAACAATACCAGTAATTAGCATAATCTAATCACTTTGTGCTTTGTGTCTCTTAAAGTTGTCTTTGCTGTGTATACAAACTACCCCCCAACTCAGAGGCTTAAAAACCGTTTTCAGTCATTTATTGCTCAGTTTTGCTCCGGTGGGTATGGCTCATCTGTTTCCTGTGCTAAGTTGCTAGGGTGCTGAGTGGCTGCTGGAGTACACAGCACGGCCTCCCCTATCTGGGGCCTTGGTGCTGGCTGCAGGCTGGGGTGCTTTGGTTCACCTCCATATGGCCTCTCCCTGAGGCAGGATAGAAGAAACCAGGAAAATTCCTTGGCAAGTGGAATGGGGATCCTGAGACAGATAGCTGAATAAACTGA